AATTTCATTCTCGCCGATTATGCCTGGCATTGAAAATCAGATTGCGCTTTGTTGTCTGGTTCAACCTGATTCACCCAGCCCAAATGTGGCTCGTGTCAATACCAATGATAATGCAAGGCCCAAATGTAGCTCATGTCAATATAATTAACGCCTAATCATGGCCATGACTATTTGATAGTCATCGCAGCAAAACAAATGATATGGTGATATTTAGTCTTTACTTTATTGGAGAACGCCTTGAGCGTCTTGAGTTGAATTTTATGGGATTATCAAATTCTGATCTAAGTGGTAGCGAGTACTTCTGCAGCTTCAACTTATGATCTGTGAAGGCAACTGGCCCTGCAACTCAATCTTCAACCAATCATGCTCTGTTTGGTTAGAGACTTCTGATACCTAAATTCTAATAATGCGAGGCCAAATCAACTAGTAAGGAATAGTTCACAAAATGTTAGATAGGGGAATTAGAATTGCACCACATAAGAATTACAAAGATTTGTAAGAAAAATTTGCAAATAACTTCTCGAATTTTTGTGTTTGCAAGTATACGAATCGGATGAAGTATTGTATACATGCACGGATATCATCCCACATAGATCAAATTGATATTAAAAATATTACTAACTAAATTGAAATAAATTATAATTGAGAAGTTTTAACGGAAAAGAGAGAAAATCTGCATTAACTGAAAATTTAAATAAGGCTTGAAAGTAAGCGCATGAAAATAATAAATTGAAAACATAAGAAAATAATACTTAGGGCATCCGAATTCACCGTAACCAATTCTACTTAATCCTCTTAATATGTTATGCACAAGTAATTCTTAATATTGATAATCTATTTTCCTAAATCATTCAATGACCATGACATCTAGTTGCATAAAAGTATCGTTACATGTTAACCCTTTATGAACATCTAGACGAATTTAAACATGTAAGAATTCATTAAGCGTTATGAAAATCATTGGAAAATCACATAAACTCTAATTGCATGAAATCAACAAATAGGAATTCATGGTATCAATTGCAAGAAGATAAAACCCAAGTTAAGTATGACATCTACTGTAATTTGCATTAAATCAATTTAATTTATACATAGAGGGTGATAATTAAATATTAAAAAGCCCAAAAAGAATACTCTTCCATGTTGGACACAGCCTTCTTTGTGAAATATGATGTTTGGTGGTTGTTGGATCGATGCATCAGAAGGAGAAGGATTCTTCTTATAAAACCCACGACAATAAGCAAGGCTTTATCAATCCTAGCCTAATGGACTTTTCAGTCCTTATCAAAGAATGACAAATTACAGATTAATAATTAAATTCTCTGTAAGCCCATTAAACAGCTCCCACACCAACCGTATCGCCAAAATTGGTCCATATTGAATTCTTGCACTGCTCCAGCTCAGCCACGAAATCATATTAGCATCAAATCCCCTCTCGCATTCATCCTTTTACTGCTGCTTTAAGTAAATATGCTCGTAGAAAATTACTCTAGGCACCCAAGTTTTCGTTTAATTTCTCTTTTTTTCATCTAGTTCCACTATCGAATGCTTAAAGATCAAAACCGTATAATTTAGTGTATTTAACCCACTAAAATATACAAAATTTAAAAGAAATAAATGATAAAAATATATGAAAATATAACCATGCCAGCAACCATATGCCTTCGTGTCCTCAATAAGATGCCCATAGAAGGATAAATTCGGTCCGGATCTAAGCAAAGCGGATACAACCACGTGAGAATCACTTTCAATAGATTTATTTTATTATTTTATATATAAGCGATATTACTACTTTAATTACACTAAGGAGAGCGAGTTTGAACTCATGATGCGATTTAAAGAAAAAAAAAAAACTCTAACTACCAAAGCAATCCATCACTTACATTATCAAAAAAAGTATTAGAAAATAATTTGGAGTTGCTGTTAGTAAATATAGTGTTATTATTTTATCTCTTATGTTTTTCGAGCAACATGATTTTACACCATGGGACGATTTTAGCTAAGGACATCTCCATGCAAGGACTCAAATTCCAAACCTATATTCTTATACTTAAGTCCCAAAGAATTGGTGGATTTATGTACCGAGGAATTAGGTTCACATCCTTCTTTTTGCTACTACATTGATTAAAATCTTATTCATTTTCAATTTTTGATCAAGGTCCTTGGATATTAATAACATCATTAATTATTTGAATAATAAAATATTTTTATTTCAAAATATATTCCTTTAGTGTGAAAAATGTTACAATTAATATACTTATATTTATGGCTAAATTTTTTATCGTATATTTTTATTTTTAGTTTGTACCTATTTTTAATTTGTACCAATTTTTTTTTCATATTTAATTTGTACCCATATATTAGTTTCTTTTTGTGCCCATATTTTTTAAAGTTTTATTTGTGTTTGTACCCATGTGATACCATAACGTGATATTGTATATTTAATCAATGATAGAAAGATTACATATGGTATATTTATGTTTTATGCCTAAACTTTGTATCATATATTTATATTTTTAGTTTGTACCCACTTTTAATTTGCAACATTTTTTTTAAATTTGTAGTATTTTCTTTTTAGTTTTATTTTGTACCCATGTATCAATTTCTTTTACGACCTATATTTTTTTAAAATTCATTTGTACTCATAATTTTTTAATCTTTTATTTGTACCCTAATTTATTTATAATGTACCCATTCTTCTTTATTAATGTACCACTTTGTTATATGTGAAATGTACCAATTTTTTTAACACTAAGGATATATTCTTTTGCCATTTATATTTCTTATTTTTACATAGTTTTTATCCATTTATTCAATCAAAATGTTTGAATTTTTTTATTGTAACCGTTTCTAATAGTATTATAATGAGGGATTTTAAATTTATAGTATTATAAATCTCATAAAATATCAAACAATTAATGTCAAAACTATAAAAATATAAATATTAATTGTAATATAATGAGGTGTACAAACTCAAGGGACTTTGATCGAACTTTGAATATCATTAAGATGTTAGTCAAAGAATGTTAAGGATTAGGAACCGTATCCAAAGTATCCCTTTATGTATTTTGATTTCCTCACCTATTTTAACCCTCCCTTCAAAGTTTAGTAAGCTAACCATAATAACTTCACTTCTCAAATGCTAGTCACCACATATTTTATGATTCAAAGTTTTAGGAAAAGATTTTATCAATCTAGTATTATTGAAGATGAAATAGTCTCCGAGTCAATGTTCATTAAAGTAGGTACTCTCCACTTCTCCTCCCCTTCTCTCTTTTCCGCTCACTTTCCTTTCTTTCTTTCTCCTAAAGAAGTGAACACAAAATATTGATCTGGCTTAAAACCAAGGAAGAAAATATCGGTAATATCGGAAATATCAGTAGTCCGAAAACACGGAAATATCGATGGAAATATCGGGATAATATCGATATCGATAAAAATTACATGGAAACCACGGAAATTGTAAGAAAAACTTGGAAATTTTTAATGAAACTTTGCAAGATGTTTATTTAGTCAATTATCTATTAGTTTATCACAAAAAAATGGGAAGGAAATGCATTGTATGATGAATTTAACTGATTTAAGTTGATTATATAGCGAGCTGGCAAATTTTTCACTCTTTGAGGTTCAAATTTTTCACTTTTTCCCTGAAATTGAGTCTTTTATCCTAATCTAATCTGAACCCCCAGATTAATTTATATTTTCACTCTTTCCCTGAAATTATATAAATTGTGCAATTGAGTCCTTTATCCTAATCTAATATGGACCCTCCATCTTGATTCTCACTCTTTGTCACGCTGCCACGTGGCAGACCACTAACCCTCACCCTATCTCTCTCTCTCTCTTTTCCCGAGTCCCTCTCGAACCCCTCACTCTCTCTCAGTTCTCAACTCTATCTCTCTCTCGAACTCTCGTTCTCTCACTCCAATTCCCCGATCGCACCCACACCCAGGCACACCCAAATCCGTCCACCCCGATGCCAGCGCAGCATCTCCACCACCCTCCTGAACTCTCCCTCCCTCTCCTCCGTCTCTGGGAAGCACGGCGACGCGCAGATGAAGCTCCATTTCCCCAATCGCACCCACACCCAGGCACACCCAAATCCGTCCACCCCGATGCCAGCGCAGCATCTCCACCACCCTCCTGAACTCTCCCTCCCTCTCCTCCATCTCTGGGAAGCACGACGACGCGCAGAGGACTCCATTTCCCCGATCGCACCCACACCTAGGCACACCCAAATCTGTCCACCCTGATGCCAGCGCAGCATCTCCACCACCCTCCTGAACTCTCCCTCCCTCTCCTCCGTCTTTGGGAAGCACGGCGACGCGTAGAGGAAGCTCGGCTGCCGTTGTGACGCCGACGACGGAGCCTCGGTGATATTATCACTAATATCGTGATATTATCGCTAATATCGATAATATCGCGATATTATCACGAAAACCATTTGGATAGTTATAAAAATATCGGTCCTCTTAAAAACTGAAAATATCGGCGATATCTTCCTTGCTTAAAACAACAGCTTTTTAGGTTTTTCATGTAACCATAAAATGGGAGCCAATTACAAAACAGCAGATAAGCCCCATTCCAACCGCCAGCTTAATTTCAAATTTAATGCAAAGTCCAAATCACCACTCCTTCGACTTCCTCGCCATCACACACTTCCTACCTTTACATTCTGGCCACATTTTCTCTCGCCCCAACCCACATTTCCAAGAAAAAACATCATTTTCCATCTTAACTAACACACTTTCTTCTTTAACCAAACCTTTATCCATTCGTCCACCGGCAACCTACTAAACCAAAACCTCCGATATAATATAGGAAAACAGAAGTTGGTAGATTCATAGTACATGATCTGGATTCATTTTACTCTTTTCACTTCTCTCCTCACATTTTCCCGGTAGGCAGTCCACCATCCGTTAGGTTAAAACATTGAAAAAGAAAAACCTACTGAGCCATTTCCCCAGAGACCTTTCAGAGACGTACACACGTACGGACAAATGAGTGGTCGTCTTAGCAAGCTCGGGACAACGCTCACTGTAGTGTTTGCTGTCACTCTCGCCGCCCTTATAGCGCAGTTCTTCTTCCTCCTCTGGCGGCGAAGGAAGTCCCAGTTTCCGACCAGCATCGGGCCCCACGAAGCTCATCATAACAACCGACAACCTAGCTCACTGCACCGCAATATCGAAGTGGACGAGGTGTTCAAGTGGCAGCAGCGACTGTACGGCGTGTCGTCCAGGGTGCTGTTCACGATCGAGGAGGAGGAAGAGAGAGAGGGTCTGGACTCCGAGACGCCGGCAACGACGTATTCATCCTGTGCGGAGAAAGAGGCGAAGACCCTGGTGCTGGACGTAGCGGTGACTATGAGAGTAGAGGTGGAGGAGGCAACGCCGCCGTTTACTACGCCATGTGCTTCGCCGCCGTACTATACACCTTCGCCTTCTCCTAGTCGTGATTTTGTAGTGTGAACTGTAAAGAGAGCTCTTTTTTCTCTCCGTTGGGTAGGATCCATGATCCATCAGTGATCTGGAGTTGGGTTGTCGGGTCAAAGCAGGATCCGGTTTGGCAGTCCAATAGTTCAATTAATGTGGTTGCAACTGTACCATTGTAGTTGGGTGATCATTGATGGCTTTTGCTTTTCGTGTAACAATGGCTGGAAAGCAAAAGTGTGGAACTGTATACGCATATTTTATAAGGAATTAGTACTAGATGGGGTAGAGGGGTTCGGTTTCTGTATGGTTTTTTGCCAAAGTTAAAAATCGAACTGAAATTATTGTTCAGTTTGGTTCGGTTTTCTTCAGGTTTTTGTTGTAATTTCTGAACCGAAGTTAAATGTGTAGTTTCTGTAGGCTGTAGCCCCTCATTTCAACTCTACTCATTTTTAATTTTTTCTTCTATTTTATGTGCAAACTGTTAATGATGCTTAAAAAAACCATTTTCTAGAGATATTTTCAATATATTCAAAACACGAACTAACACATTACATCTTATAATATAAAACAAAAAACCACAGAAAAATATATCCACTCTCCGCTTATACAATGGTGTATGAAAAAAATCTTCCTCTCTTTACTTATATTGTGGTATATGAAAAAGTCTCGCCCGTTCCTCCTCTTCTCATATCAAGAAAAACAAAATCGTAGTTACAAACTTACAAATAAAAGAGAAATCCATCCCAACCTTTGCAGCCTACCCCGTTAGGCTTTCGTCGGTGACAACCCTCACTTTTGATAATTAATTTGTTTTTAGTTTTTTTTTTTAAATTAAAAACTCAAATCTTGTTTCATAATTACTTTTAGTTTTTAATTTTTATAAAACAAAAAGTGAAAATTCAAGAAAGTGGTTTTCGGTTTTTATTTGTATTGAAAACTGAAAGTGGTTACTAAATGAGATTTCAGTTTTTTTTTTTTTTTAAATGAACATAAAAAACTAAAACCTGAAAACGAAATGGTTATTAAACGGTATGTGTTTTCTAGGGATTGTCCTATTTCAACCACTAACAAATAGAACCCATAATTTAAGACTCTCTCAAAAGTGGGACTCTCCATGGACTATGAGTATGTGCCACCTCATATTTCTGACACAGTTCTTGTGCTAACATTATAAAACATTGTGCAAAAAATATGAGATGACGGATAGTCCATGAAGAGTCTCCTTAGCATTTCTCTTTGAAGATTTAATCAATTTAGGTTTTAATTTTGTGTAATGAGTTGTTCTTCAGCTTAATTAAGGTTGTTGGAATTTAATTTGTATCTGATTAGCTCAATTCAGGAATTGGAGGTAAAGTTGTTCACTTCTGTTAAAAATGACAAGCTATGATTTATAGGAATTTAAAACTCTAATTAGGCGGTCAATTTAAGGAATATCATCTCGTTTTTCTTCATCAGTTAAAATTTCGACGGAATTCTAGAGAAGTTTTTTATGCTTCAAAATTTCAGAATCTGCATATTTTCTGTCAAATTTCTGCAACTATACAGATAATTTCAACGGAATTTATTGAATTTTTGAAATCCCACCGCTATGGGTTAAGTGTAGAGTTCACCACCTTTTCATATCTTTTCCTGAGTTTTTCAATAGTTTTGTGGAAGTATTGATAATATCGATGAGATTTCAAACATTAATGAGGTATTTATTTTAGCCAAATTTCAATCTAAGGTTAGGTAAACCCAACTTAAAGCCCAAATATGTTGAAAGCCTTATTCACTATGTATATTTTTTTTTTGGAGAAATTAGGTTTTTATCATTCCTTTTTGTTATTCCAATGATTAAAATCATATTCCTTTTCAATTTTTAATTAAGGTTCTTGGGTATTAATAACATCATTAATTATTTCAATGATAAATTTTTTTTATTTCTAAATATATTCATTTAATCTTAAAAATGTTACAATTGGTATATTTATATTTATGACTAATTTTTTTATCATATATTTTTAGTTTTAGTTTGTACCCATTTTTAATTTGTAATTCTTTTTTAACTTGTACCAATTTTCTTTTCAGTTTTAATTTGTACCCATATATTAATTTCTTTTTGTGCCCATATTTTTTAAAGTTATTTGTATTTGTACTTTTTATTTTGCTAAATGTACCCATGCTAATTAATTATATGTACCCATTCATGTAAAACTTTTTAATCTTAAAATGTACTCATTCTTAAATATACCAATTTGTTATATGTAAAATGTACCCTGTTTTTTTTTTTGTTATATAAAATCTATTCAATTTTTTCTATCCATTTTTAAACTTATATTGGTACATTCTTTTTTCTTTGATTTTAAAATGTATCCATGTCAAGTTTAATTGAAGAAATTTACTAATGTTATTAAGCCTAATATCTTTTTTTTTTTTGTGATTTTGAAGAATGCACCCATGTTTTGATACAATAAATTTTTTGGTTAATTTTGATGAATGTACCCATGTTTATACACACACACACACACACAAGTATAAATATTTTAATATTTTTAATCCCACAATTTTTTTTTTTATATTTAAAATCTCATTTATACAAACAACTAAACCCTAACGTACATAGAAATAAATTATCACATTAATTTCAGGGACCTCAATCAAAAATTAAAAACCTATAAGGTTTCAATCAAAGAATATTCATAACTAAGGACCGCATCCAAAGTCTCTCTTATTTTTTTCATTTTCTGTTCAATTTCTAGATTAAAAAAAAAAACAAAAAAAGCAAAAGAAAATAACAAAACTAAATAGTAATTTAGTTTTTATTTTTATTTTGTAAAAAAAAAAAAACCAAACTGAACGAAACCGAACTAGCTACTAAATCTTAGCCATTCTTGGCATATTACATATTCATGATTGTCGATGTTCAATATAGAATTGTAAGGGAATCATAGACTCTTCCAATGGATAGGCAAAGTGGAGGTGAGAAATTTCAATAGTTAAAAGGGAGTTCTAATGAAAAGACTTGGAATAAGTTTATTTTAACCAAAAGCTATCTTATAACTTTATTTAATGAAAATGCCTTAAACTTTAATATAAAAAAAAAGACAATTTTAACGCAAATGACAAAAGTTAATATAATAAAAAATAAACTAAAAAAAAGTAATAGAAATTTGAACACGGACATTATTTTTGAAATTGAACGCTACTATACTATTTTTGAAAATGAACAATACTATACTATTTCTGAAACTAAACTACACTATTTCTGAAACTCAATACAACTTATGAAAACTAATTATTTATGAAATTAAACACGAGTACTACACTATTTTTGAAATTGAAGACGGGTACTACACTATTTATAAAACTGAACACAGGTTGAAGTGCAGTAACTATTTCTTAAACTGAATATGGTATCTCTTCAGGAATTCTAACGACCTTTCTTTCTCCTCTTTTTAAATTTTCTCGGCACTTTCTCACATTCCAAACACCTTTTATTGTTCTAATTTTCTTTGATTCTCATCAAATTTTTTTTCTAAATCTCTTCAATTTCTTATTTTTCTGCACCAAATACTTAAGTTTCTGCCATCGTCGAAATAAGCCCTTGAGATAAGGCAAAGGCCGCCCACGTAAACCCTTTAATTGGATCCACTAATTTTGCATCGTAACCAAACATCTTCTTTGAAAGGATTCTGACCAAGGGAGCTGCAAAAGAAGAGAATAATCCTTCGAAAGCTCTATCAAAGGCATAGATCATGGTTCGGTGTTTGACAGGGACAACCTCAGCAAACGTAGGGCCATTTGCAGTTGTAGCATTGCAACCGATAGTCAGGCCCATCATCAATTGGGGTGACTGCAAAGGTCTTACATGGCATTCGGCTGGTTTTTTATTTTTTTTTATTTTTTTTCCCTTTCTTTCTTATGGCATTCTCATTAAATAAAGTTATTACATAGTTTTTGGTTAAATTCAAAGTTTTGAAGTCATGTTTATTAGTTTCCTTAGTTAAAATAGGTAGAGTTGAGCGCCGATGAATTGTATAGTAGGAGCGTTGGTTGAGAGTTGTATGAGGGAGACAGTGACTGTGAAAGGGTATGGAAAGGAAGGAGGGAGAAGGGATGAGAAAGACGATAGAAGCAAACGGGTTTCAAGTTGCTATTCCTTTGTTTTTAATTTTTTGAATGAAATAATATAAAAAAATATTTTAAATAACGCGATCTATTTTGCATCAGAGTTTGCTTATTAAACTGATTTATATGCAGTTTTTTTTTTTTTTAAGGTACAATGATATCTTTTACACTAATGGAATGAAGAGTTTGGCTTAGCCACACAATGGGCAACCTAATTTGGTATTGAATTCATCATCTATTAGATTCGAATCTAAAATCGTTCACTTACAAGTGAAGAGGAATACCACTAGACTATAGTACTGGATGACTATATGCGATTAACTAAACTTTTTTTTTGTTTTTTATTTTTTTAACAAACTAAACTTTTCTCTTTTTTTTAAGGTCCAAGTTCAGGGAAAGGGATCATCTTCGGATCCCTTCCACTAAATCCACCAAGTTAAGGGATCCGAGTCCTTGAAATTTGATCCAAATGTTAAAAACAGGGCCTCCTTTAAAAGTTATAATAACTTTAGCCTTTGGATCAAATTTCAACCCGAATTCCTTAACTTGGTAGATTTGGTGGAAGGGATCCGGAGATCCCTTTCCCAAGTTCCGGGCTATAAGCCAAAAATTTATTTATTTTTAACTTTTCATTATTTGGTCTTTATTTATTTATTTCATTAACCCCTTTAGCATACTCCGGTTTTGGGGCATGAAACTTGCTATAAGCGAGTTTTGTTTTCTAGTCATAAGAGGCTTTTCTTAAGTATGATTTCGTTATCAATTTGTCTTTTTACGTCAATTTGCGATCAATATATATTTCTTGAAATGAAAGAAAGTCTGATGCATAAATTTTCAAAGTTTAGAATAGGGTTTTTCATCAATCATGTGTATTAACACTAAACGAAGGCTAGGCTAAACACACGAATTCACACAAGATACTGTGTAGCCACATTGCGGTTATGTTTGTAGGGTCCATGAAGAGTTGAAGAGGGTTTCTTTGCCGCCCAAGATGCCACATCATAAAGTTTTGAAAATTCAGGCCGCGCATTGCAGGGCCGGTCTTGAGGGTAGCCCGATTAGGCGTCCATCTAGGGCCCTCATTTCTGGGGGGCCCAATTTTTATTGTTTTTATATATAGGGAAATGTTATTGACACTCAAAAAATCTCATCATACAATCTTCACAAGTGTATTTGTCTTTTTAAATATAGAAAGTTTGGAATATGAAATGAGAATTTTGAAGTGCCAATCATAATTTTCTATATATATTTATATATTTAATTTTGCAACTTGAGTAAAATATCTAAATATGAAATTATAAATATTTTTTTGGAACTTGCCGTGCAGCGTTTTGGGTGGGGGGGGCCTAAAAATTTCTTTTTAAATATGTGTGTGTGTATATAATATATATATATATATATATATATATATATATAATTTTTTTTTTTTAGAGTTTGAATTTAATAAAATATTTAAATATAAAATCATATAATTCTCTTGAAACTTGGCGTACAAAGTGGGGTGAAACTTCAGCAACAATTCAACTTTTTTTTTGGGAATTTAACGCACAGCATACAAGTAGCAAGTCTGCGCTTGTGAATCAGTTCTTTCCCACTCCACTTACAGAGGTCAGGTACCCGATCAATGCTTCTCTTCTCTTATGCTTCTTTTATATAATTTAATTTGTGACTTGTCATTGCTATGCTTGTAAATATAATTAGGATTTTCAATTCTAGGGTTTATGATTTGTTTATTTTAATGCATATTGTTTATGCGAAATCAGAGTATTCACTTGTCAAGTGTCTATATTGCAGTTATAAAATTCGAACTTGTGGATGCACTTAACAAAGTGGTTAAATCCCTTCAAGAAAATAAATGGATTATGGGTGCACTTAACAATGTTGGTTACTTTTGCTTCTTAACTAGTTTTGGTTTAAGATAATTCAAAGTTTCGATGTTGAATTTTGTTAACCATACCAGTTACAGTTGCCTCTGCATAAAGAAGTTTCTCAAAATTAAAATTGATCAAATCGTATCTTCGATCAACTATGTCACAAGAAAGATTGAATGGGTTGGCTATTTTGTCAATTGATAAAGAATTGGTTGAAAAGTTAGATTATGTGAACTTAATTAATACATTTGCGTCTAATAACGTGAGACGTGTAATATTTAAGTAATGTTTGCATATCTTTCATCTTTGGATATGAATTCTAATGATTTTTTTATGTAGAAATGAACTTTTTCATTTATTTAGCAAAACCTTTTCTTATACATATAAATGTACAATGAGTTGAGTGTCAAAGAATTTTAGGGCCCCTACTCGAAGGCTCACCTAGGGTCCCTAATTTCTCAAGGCCTGCCCTGGCACACTGTTTTTTTGCAATAAAATTAAGTAGTAAGATTCTCTCTTCTCTTTTTTTCCCTCTCCTTCCCCCCCTCATATTTGAACGGTCACGGTTAAGCCATGTCAACATCTTATATTAATTTTTTTTAGAAAGAGAAAGACAAAATAGAGAATGTGAAAGGAGGGGAGATAATCCTAGTCCTAAAAATAAATACTCATCAACATATCAGTTAAAATCTAGTAGGTTGGGTATTGGGCAAGCCAAACATGTGTTTTCAGTCCAGACACTTCCTTTTTCTCTATTTCTACTAGGGAGGCTAAATTTGTAAACACAATTTGCAAACTAAATAATGTGTCACCAATAGAAATGAGTACGTTTATCAACGCTTAAGTCATAATTTAATCATCAACTTCGATGTCATTTAATTTTTCAAATTTTGTCTCCCTAGCATTATCCCTTTTTTAGAGGGGAATGCTAGAGAAACTAAATGTGTATACTAAATTTTATAAATTAAATGACATGAAAGTTGATGATTATATTATTACTTAGGTATTGATTCACATGTTTATTTTTTATTGGTGATACATCATATGGATGTCTCATTAATAATAGAGATGTTTTTCGTATAAAATATTCGAACTTTCTTTGAATTCCTTTTGAGAGACTTGTAGGCTGAAGAACGTTGTTGGTAACTTCATAGAAGCATATAATTATTATTTTTGTTAATGAAATGTGTAAAAGGGGAGGACGAGACCTTGTCCTACTAAGAGCTCCCTCTTCCTCATTCATGGATTTATCCTTTGAACTTGTAGTGTGTTGCCAGTTTCTCCTTAGAACTTTTTATAATTAGCCAATTTCACTCTTATGTTAAGTTTTTATATTTTTCTTCTAACATTCAGTTATCTTTGTCACATGCAAAAACATAAATAGAGAATATTTTTTATTCACCACTCTATTTATCATTGTTGGATGAGTATAAATTTTGAAATTTATGCAGTGGGTAGCCATTAATCACAAGTTTAAACTCATGTAATAACAATAAGTAGGTGGTGAGCATTACCACCATTTGAAGGTTGTGAGCAAAGACACCCACATACAGAAGGTAAAAAAGTAATACGATGTACACTAGGTGAGATTCTGCTCATGAAAAGGTCATAAATAACTGTAAGGAAAAGAGAACCAGATTTGAACCCAACCCTACAAAATATGATCCCAATCCATAACCTAACCTAAAATATATCTAGATGGTATCACAAATAAGATTTACATCTCTAGACATGTCATTTTTTATGAAACACAATTCCAACCCTCTAAAACATCATTTAAAACGCATCAGTCAACACTACCAGTATCCAACATACCGCTGCGTTTACCTACAACATCATTTCCATCAGCTTCTCTGCATAATCAAGTCACATTACCATCATCTTATATGCATTCATCTAGAGTCTCAGAGTCATTGAATCAACTATCATCTAAAGCCACAGAATCTTTGTCTTCATCTACAACCTCATAGTTATTAGAAACACAATCATGTAGTGCCTCAGATTCTATTCAAACACCTATATTACAGTACTCAGATACAAGTACACATTCACCAATCTCAAAACCTTAGAAGACTAAAATTACACAGCTCCTTATTTCTGTTGATCCTGATTTCCAAGAAGAACAACAATAAGTTGTTATATAGATTGTTATAAGGTAGTTAAACATTAACTGTCATAAGAAGCTTTAATTAGTCATATAACAGATTGTATAAGAAGATTACTTCATTGTTAAGAAATAAGAAAACACTCTCTTCTCTTAGCTCAAATTTCTCTCTCTTTCTCTTTGCATTCTTTCTACAATTTCTTCAATATTTCTGCAATCTTAACATGGTATGCTCGCCAATGGTAGATCCAATGCTTCCGCACAATCTTTGATACATACATTTCTCTTCTCAACCCTCTAATTTGTTGCTTTTGTGAGTTTTTTGGATCAAAATCCCAATTTGGAAGATAATCAATCTTTCGTTTTCTGAGCATCAATTGTTCGATACAAGTCTCCAGTGACAAAAGCTTTTTACTTCAACAATGGTTACTGTGGGACAATTGCAGAATGTACAATCACCCATTACAAGTCTCATTATCACTGTATCATCGTCGGTTACAGTAAAATCGGATTATTCCAATTACCTTGTATGGAGTTTTCAGATCAAACTTCTGCTTAAAAGTCATGGCATTCTTGGTTCGTTGTTGAGTCCAAGAAATGTCCACAAAGGTTTCTTGATGAGGCAAATCTTAAAGGGGTTGAAACAAATGCCTATCAAGTTTAGAAAATGCATGATCGTGCTCTTATGCAGTTTCTCATAGCCACACTGTCATCTACTGACATCTCCTGCATTCTTGGAAGTGCTAGTTCATATAATATGTGGATTAGTCTAAAGGAAATGTTTTCTACAAAAACTAAAGCTACAATCTTCCAGAAGAAAACAGAGCTACAAAACATTCAAAATGGGTCTGATTCAGTATTTGTTTACTTATAGAATATTAAAGATGCAAGAGATCATCTTGTTGCAGCTGGTGTCATCTTTGAAAATGATATAATCATTCTAGCTCTAAAAGGGTTATCTCTGAGTACAATACATTTTGCTGTGTTATCAGAGGAAGAAAAATGGAATTTCTTTGAAAGATTTCAGATCATAGCTTCTTGCTGAAGAAGCCATAATTGGCCAATTTTTTTAGTCTACTGTGAACTTTGGAACTACAATGGTTGCATGTACTTAATCAGACAAAGGCAAAGCTTTCAGTCTTTAACAAAACCCAACTCAGTCTCAAGGTTTTCACTCTGATACAAGATCTTCAAGCCAAGGGTACAATTTTAATGGCAGATCTAGTTTTAATGGATACAATTCTAGTCAGGGGTCATCTTCGCAATATGGTTCATCTGGTAATCCAATGGTGGTAATTCAGGTGGATATAAAGGGTCAAATTATAAAGGAAAAGGAAGAGATAGATTTCAGTACAACAATGGTCCAAGATTTCAATCTCCATCATATAACTCAAGTCCTGGAATTCTTGGAGCTCCCAAACCATTTCAACAGTGGCAGAGCTAGGAATTTACAACACTGGGGTCAAAAAATAGTTTTAGAAAATCAATCACTTTCATTTAAAAATAGCTTTCAAATATATCAAAAAGGAGATTACAAATAGACAATAGAGTGTTAACTTTCAAACTCAAATTACACATATACCGATAACTCTCACTCAAACAAATAAAGAAGACGAAAATACATAACAAATTTCTCTCTCAAAAGCTACCGAAAGTAGTACTCATATGAGTGATTGCTCATAGCACAAATGAAGCAGCACAAGGAGAGCATTCGAGGGATGGAAACCAAAAGCATTAGAAGGATGGAACCAAAAAACAGCATAATGGCCCACTAAATTTGGCCATAATTCATCTGTTACTAGTGGTATAGGAATCAAATATTTTTTCACAAGAGTAAATTTAGAAACTTATTGGGGTCAATGGATCCCAATGCACCTCTTTGGATTTGCTAGTGCATTTCAATACTTTTGCCTTGAACTTCCATCTGATATTCCAACTTGCCAAATATGCAACAAAAAAGGTCATGTTGTAGTAGATTATTTCCGAAGCACAATACAACAACTGGTACTACCATTTAGTGTCAAACTTGCTAGAAGTTGGGACACTCAGCCACTCAGTATTATCACATAAATAATTTTGCATACAAAGGAAGACCACCTTCTGTCAATCTAACTACAATGCAAGCAAGTCACAATCCATCTGCACCACTAGAACAGTTTGGGTTGTAGACATTGTTGCAACATCTCATATGACCTCAAAACTTGCGAATTTGGATTTAGCTATTACATATCAAGGCACTGATACAATAACAACCACTGCAAGTGGTACAAGTTTGAACATTTTCAACATTGGTATATCAAATTTAATAGCTCGTATTCATACATTTGCATTGAAGAATGTGATGCATGTTCCTAAACTTTCACAGCATCTATTATCTATATATCAACTATGCAAGGATAATAATTGTAGATTCATATGTGATGATATCTCTCTTTGGGTTCAGGATAAAATCACAAGGAAAATATTACTCAAGGGACTATGTAAAGTTGGTTATTACCCCATTCTATTTCACTCTCCATAGAAGAAATTACCTACATTCTCATGATCACATGCGTGCTTCATTGCCAAACCTGTTAGCACAAGCTTATGACATCAAAGATTTGGACATTCATCAAATGCAATCACTTCTGCAATAATGCAACACACTAAGGCTTCTGCATCCACAGATACTCGTCAAACCATTCGTACACCTTGATTAGAATGGAAATTTATAAAGTTGTCTTTTTCACTTCCTGCAAATAAGTCTGTAAACCCATTAGAGGTGATACATAGTGATGTATAAGGACCTGCCTCTGTGTTGTCTTTTAAAGGTTCTAAGTACTATGTTAGCTTCATTGTTGAATGTACCAGATACATATGAATTTTTCCAATGAATAATAAAGCTGAAGTTTTTGCAATATTTGTGACATCCCGTCCCGAATTTATACTTATTTTATTGCCTAATCTTGTGAAATTACGAAAAATACCCCTGACAAGGGGGAAATCCTCCATGGACATTCGATTCCTTTTCACTTTTTGTTCCTTTACACATCTTCTTAGGTGGTACGTGTCCTTACGAACACGTGAGCACAAGGGGCAAAAAGGTAATTTTGCACTCTTGGAAATTTATTACTTGCTTATCGAGACAACAGTGAGTTATCAGTGTGCGGGTTGCAGATTATAATATCAATAGTTTATTCGTTGGGTTCGTTAAACAAGTGGGCAAGTAGGCCTGTCTATATTAGTATTTTATTAATTAGTACTCAACGATACGAACGTGTGAGCGTAAATGAGATTGAATACGGAGCTACGGTGAAGATTTTACGAAACACGAAGCGTTTAGGGTAGTTTAGTAATTTCATATGAGAGAGAGATATTTTTTGTCTATCTTTTTGTGGTATTGTTTTGTGAGACACTAGGGCCCACACCCTATTTCTCTTCTTTACTGTGTCTCCCACCCTTTTGTACTTCTCTTATCTTCACTCACACTCTCTCATTCTCCCTTCAACTTTCTCCGACTCCCTCCTTCCTCTGTAAAACATCTAACACACCACCATCATCTTTGCTCTCTCAAACTTTCTTTCTCAAACTCCCCAACTCTATCGTCTCTCTTTCCTACAAATACAGAAAACGCACAACGACAGAGTTACCATCCTCCGACAACCACCGTCGCCATGATTCATGATGAACCACCCTGCACCACCATCTGTTGGCCTTCTCCTTCCTCCCTCACGTCACTCGCCCTTCCCCGACCCCAAGGACCATCACCAACGCCATATTTTCCGACAAACTTGTAACGACTCCACCATGTGCAGAAAACACCTTAAGGGAGATTTCTCTTATTTCTGGAAGAATGGAACCATGGTCATTGGGCCACTTTCAGGCCATTTTCTGGTCAATTGTGACGATGACTTAGCTTCAAATTATTGAAATGCATCGCAAGGATCTTCAATACCCGTGAGGCGAGTTTGTTTAGATGACATGATTTGTGAGTGGGTCTTTGCTTTTAAATATATATTTAGCTAGTTTCCATATATATATATATATATATATATATATATATATATTAGACTAACGTTTATAAGAATTAGGGAATTTACGAAATTTATTAAATATCTTAAATATTACTAGATGCACAGGTATGCGTACTATTATGGAATGCCTTAATTATAGTTGCGGCCATGAATAGTATTTTATTTACTAGAATTATTGAATTACCATTGCATGATCATATTTACGTTAACTACTCATCGCACTAGTGTTAGTACTTGCCCGGGCCAGGGTCAGTCTTCACGTCTATGTTTACATCGTACCAATACGCTTACCTTGGATCTATTGTAGGCGCCAGTCTTGTCCTAGATTGCTATAGACAATTAGGACTCGTATGTTACGCGCATAACACCAATCTTCACGTGATTGTAGTACTAGAGCGTAAATCATTATTACACTCAATCCCGCTCATGTCAAAATACCACATCTACATGAATTCATGTGTCAGCATATGTCGATGAGCACCTGATATTATATGTTAATTTATTTTGAGATATTGTGATTATCGAATGTTATATGTTTTATATGTGAAATATTGTGATTTACCATAATTTTGAAATATTACTGTTTACGGTAAATGTTTTCATACTATATATAGTACATATATTTGAAAACTATACTTGTTTTACTGCGAGAGGTTATATGTTTTCGAAAAGGTTTTTACAAAACTTTATTTTGAAGCCCACCTTTTCGCCCCTCCAAGATTTAGTAGCAATGTTTGTGTCAACGAGGATTTTTGGCATACATTAACATAAGATATTACTTCAGATGATATGATTCTTATTCAAATTTTACTGTACTTATACTTTGACATCATGTGTGAAATGAGTTCAATCCTGCTCACACGTGCACTCTTGCATTTAGTCACTTTTAGGTTTAAATTTATTCACATTTTCCAACTTCACTACACTTTATGGTTTCGTCACCTTTCTGGTGTTGGTCAGCATAGCTCGATTCAGAGTCCAAGTGGTGGACATTCCGGGTCGAAGTGTTTCAATATTGGTCAAATTGTATACATTCTTGTGTACCCAATTTTCTGTAAAAGTTTAAATATTTCAAAGTGATGGTGGTGGTGAATATACAAGTAAAAATTTCAAAGTTTTCTGGCATTAAAAGGAATTTCACATCATAAATCTTGTCCTTACACCCCTAAAACAAAATAGCTTGGCAGACGTATTTTAGAAACTACCATCACATTATTGCAGACATCCAAACTTCTATCCAAATTGTGGTTTTATGCTTGTTTTGTAGCCATATACCGGATTAACAGAATGTCTTGTGTGACACTAAAGATGTAATCTCCTTACAAGTAGTTGATTGGTAAAATTCCAACCATTACACATCTCAGAGTTTTTGGTTGTGCATGTTATCCATTATTGAAACCCTATATCAATTCTAGACTACAACAAAAACAACTTGCATTTTTTGGGGATATGCAAAAAACTATAAGGGTTTTATATGTCTAGATGGTATCACAAATAAGATTTACATCTCTAGACATGTTCTTTTTTATGAAACACAATTCCAATCCTCTAAAACATCATCTAAGATACATCAGTCAACACTACCAATATCCAGCATACCACTGCATTTACTTGCAACATCATTACCATCAGTTTCTCTACATAATCAGGCCACATTACCATCATCTCATATGCATTCATCTTCATCTAGAGCATCAGGGTCATTGAATCAAACATCATCTAGAGCCACACAATCTTTATCTGCATCTACAACCTTATATTTATTGAAAACACAATCATGCAGTGCCTCATATTCTATTCCAACACCCAAATTACAGTACTAAGATACAAGTACACATTCATCAATCACATAACCTTACCAGACTAAAATTACACAGTTTCTTATCCCTGCTAATCCTGATTTCTAACAAGAATAACTTACTGTTGTTCTTTTAATCCATATGAATTTGCAACCAATGCAGACAAGATCAAAAAGTGGTATTATAAAAAGAAAAGCTTATTCTACTTGAGTAGCTGCAAATCATACACCCATTTTAGAACAAAAAACATTCTAGGTAGCTGCAAAAGTACTAGAGTGGCAAACTGCAATGCAAGAGGAAATTGATGTCTTTACTTTTCAGAAGATATGGTCACTAGTGCCTCTTCCACAGCATAAAAAACTTGTTGGATGCAAATGGGCGTACAAAAATAAAGAAAAATGCAGGTGTCAATGTGAAGGTATAAAGCAAGATTTGTTGCAAAAGGATACAGTCAAGAAGAGGGAATAGACTATGGAGAAATATTTAGTCCAGTTGTTAAACCAACAATAATTAAACTAATCCTTGCATTGGCAGCTCAATTCAAATGGTCTCTAAGACAGTTGGATGTTAAAAATGCATTTTTACATGGTTTTCTTCAAGAAGAGGTATACATGGAACAACCTCCAGGGCTTCAAAGTTCAAATCATCCATCAAATTATGTCTGGAAGCTTGAAAAGTCACTTTATGGACTGGAACAAGCTCCCACAGGTTGGAATGAGAAATTTACAAGCTTTTTACCAGGATTGGCCTTAAAGCTTCACAAGCATATCTTTCTTTATTTGTTCAACACACATCACTAGGGATAGTTGTTCTACTGCTATATGTTGATGATGTGATACTAACAGGCAATGATCCCTAGTTGATTTAAAATATGATTACAGACCTTACAAAAGAGTTTGATATGAAGTATCTGGGAGTTTTGAACTATTTTTTAAAGTTACAAATATGCTACACTTCTGATGGTTTATTTGTTGTTTAATCAAAGTATATAAAGGAGTTAGTCGACAAAATTGATCTGCAAGACTGCAAACCTTGTGCCATTCCATGTCTTCCCTATCACAGATTGCTCAAAGATGATGGCAAACCATATCACGGTCTTGATCAATAGGTGCAATACCTCACGTTCACCAAACCAGACATAGCTTTCTCAGTAAATCAAGCTTGTCAATTCATGCACAATCCAATGGAGTCTCATGTTATTGCAATTAAGAGAATCATCAAGTATCTTAAAGGTACTTCAAAGTACGGAATTCATTTCAAATCAAAACCAAAATATCTCCAGTCATATAGTGATGCAGATTTGGCTGGAGATCTTAACGACAGAAGATTCACTTTTGAGTTTGTTGTCTTTCTAGGTTCAAATCCTATTTCATGGGCTTCAAAGAAGCACCACACTGTCTCCAGGTCTTCAATCGAAGCTAAATATAAAGCTCTTGCCATCATAGCTACAAAATTTGGTTAGATAAAGCAATTATTATGTGATCTGCGTATTCCACTTATACTTCAACCAATGATACACTGTGACATTTTAGCCATAGCTTTGTCTATAAATCTAGTGTTTTATGCCAAATCTAAACATATTGAAATCGACTATCATTTTGTCAGAGAGAGTAACAAGAGGAGATCTCCATGTACAACATGTCTCTTCATCAAACCAGTCAACTAATATGCTAACAAAAAGGTTGTCTACACCTTTATTTCAGCTAACATAGGTTGTTATAAGGTTGTTATAAGGTAGTTAAACATTAGCTTTCATAAGAAGCTTTGATTAGTCATATAGCAGATTGTAAAAGAAGATTACTCCATTGTCAAGAAATAAGAAAACACATATTTCTCTCAATTCGAATTCTCTCTCTCTCTCTCTCTCTGTGCATTCTTTCTACAGTTTCTTCAATACTTCTGCAATCTTAAAACTTCACCCCCAGTATGTAATGAAATGCAATGTGTTCAAAGCATCATATACCAATCATGTGCCAATAGTTTATTAACCATAAATCATCACAATATCGATCAAGGATATCGAATTCAAGAATCATAATATTTATGCAAGCATACCACTCAATCAATAATAGAATCTGAAACATATAAACTGTAACAATACAAGTAAATGATTAGATATAAGTGAATGACTAACGTATGGAGTTCTATTCAAATATTAATCCCTAAATCCCTTACCTCGACTCCAACCAAGCTAATATTTCTTTCCTCAGTTTTTCTCGAGCTCTTAGGCACCCTCAAGTCTAGAGCTGAATGTCGGAGTAAAAAGAAATGTGCAAATTTTAGAATATTGTAATATAAAATCACTGTCCACCATCTCTACCAAAGAGAAACTGGAGAAAAACTGGAACGTTTTCCAGTTTTGCGGACAGATTATGAACAACTTTTTAACTTATCAAAACTCAACGAAAATTTATGAGTTTATATTCATTGGAAATCTGGAAGAATCACGAGTTGAAATAGCATGTGCAAAAGAATCTGTACCAGAGTTTTACACGGGTTCAAAGGGACCTTTTTGAACATGGTTTTAACCCATTAAATATAAATGAAAATTTTCGTTTTAAGTACTTGATTTAAAGCTTATGAATCCCTCTTCAATCCTACGGAAAGAATATTTTGAAAATAAGCTTTGTAATGAAAGAAAATAAGGACGAAACTGAAAGTTATGAAATCTGCACCAAGAAATTATGAACACTTTGTGACTTCAATTCTTATGATTTTTCAAAGCTTCAAGTAGGGTGGTAGAAACACGAAATAGGTACTTAGAGGATTTTTTTTTGGGATCAAAATAAAGAATACAAACATGATAAAGTAAATTGAAAAGAAATACTCAAGACACTCAGTAGGAAATGTAAATGTGTCATTATCGAAACCTGAACCTAGATCTTCCACCACCTGCTTTATAGCTGAGATTAGTCAGCTGTATAGACTGCTAATAGAGCAATCTAAAATCACAAAACTGCCACCTGCAACTACAGAGTCTCCACCACAACCCTAGCTCCTCCTCCTCCTCCTTCTTAAGGTTTTCACCGTTTTTAAAACCTCCTGGTTAGATAGTCTACAATAGTCAGCATTCTAGTGTCACTAAGCATATAGCAGAAGTTAATCATGTACTAAGCATATACCAGAAGATAATAACAAAATGGATTAGGAAAGTGATAATAGCTCAATAGTATACATTTTGTGTACTTAAATTATACCCATGAGCAGCTACTTAGTATTACAGTCTAGTGATATTCCTATTCATTTATAAGTAATATTAAGGGTACAAGTCAGTAATACAGTTAAAAATACAGTTAGCAATACAGTTAGTAAGTTTTTTAGTATTTGGCTAGAGTAGTTAGAATTTCTCTTATAAAAACAAAGTGGGTAATCTTCGTTCAATCAGTTAATACAAATTCTATTTTCTCCCTCTAAACTCTCTCTCTCTTTCTCTCTAATATCTCTGTGTTCATTCTTTCTGTTCATCCTTTCTTCTTAATTTTCCCTTCAATTCCTAAATATTGCAATATAGTTAACATGGTATCAAAGCCACCAGGCTCACACCATGGATTCTGGTGATTTCTCTTCATTGTAGTTTACATTTTTTTTTCCTAGTTTAATTTCTCCTCAAATTTCCATTAAATTTTCAGTGCTTCCGTGAGCTTGGGTTGATTGTTGCGATTCTTGGGGGGTCGCGTAGTTTGCTCTCGAAATCAGTTGTGGATTGGTCGAAGTCAACGGACTTGGTTGCGACGATTGCAGAGTTCATGGGGATGTAGACAGCCTTGCCGTCGAGCCACTTGGTCTTGGCGGTGCATATGAAGAATTGAGATCTATTGGTTACGGGACCAGCATTGGCCATGGACAAGATTCTGGGTCTAGTGTGCTTCTTGATGCAGTTCTTGTCGCCAGAGCCAATTTCTTGGAGGTTTTCATATGCGACGGAGTCCAATGGGAATTGAACCTTTTGTGGTTTCTCTTGGTGGGAGGAAGAAGATGAGTAAGTCGTCATTAGGGACGACAAAGATGAAATCTTGAAAAATGGAAATTTTCATCGAGTTCTTAATACAAAAAGAAGATAGTCAACCAATTTTTTATTTTGGATCCAGTGGAATCATTTCATCCCAATCGGCGACTGCTACTGTTATTGCGACTACCATTGGAGATATTCTTCTTCTTCTTCTTCTTTGTGTTCATCACTTAGTTCGATCTCTTCTTCTTCTTCTTGCTAGCGGCCTCCTTGGAGACATTCTTCTCGGCACGGGTTTCTCAGCGGATTATGAGTGAATCCTCAGAGAACAAGATGTATTGAATATAAAGACGACGAAGAACAATATGGTTGATCTTTTGACGAGTGGTTTTGACATCAATGCTTAATGCAGTCCAGGTGTTTGAAGAAAGTCCCAGCTCACAAGTTTCATTTGAAGGTTATGTTTTCAGTCCATTTTTCTCTGAATTCTTGAACAATTAGAATGGATCGTTTCTAGGTTTTACAAGTTTTTTGTTGCTGGTTAAAAATTACATTTCTACTACTTGGTTGTGGCTTATGTTGTCATTTGGAAGTATATTTGTTTAAGATTTGGGTATTTGTGTTTCTGTGTGCTCCCAATTTCAAGAATATTGTTGGATTATGGAAAGTGGCATTACCAGTTTGACTTTTCTTTGGAAGTAAGGCACTGTATGGCTATGATTATGTCAAAACAAAGTTTGAGCAGGCATGTCCATTCGTTTTGAAGTAGCTTATGCGGTTTGAGAGTATATTGTTTCTTTTACTTTTATCAATAGCCTGTTTGGATTGCACCCTAAGGGGCTTTGATAGCTTAGTTCGGATGGGGACAACTTCCTTCTTTTCAGTTATATGGTGCAGTATTCTCTCAGTATGTTTGGTAAAATGGGTATGGATTCTTGGATTCTCTCAGTATGTTGGTCTTTGCTGCTTTGATTGGACTTTTCATTGGGTTCATGCTCTCGATTTTTCTGCAAATCTTGATATGTTTGGTAAAATGGGTATGGATTCTTGGATTCTTGTGTTCATTGTTGAATTACTCAAGAAGTTTTGCTGTATCCAATTCTTGTCTCTCTACTTCACTGTTTTTTTTTTTCTGCAATTCTGTTGAGGAGTTTATGCAGTGATTTTCCCTAATCTCAGCCTATAATGTCGAGTCTAACCAACTCAGTTGTTAGCATGAATCTACAGTAAATTCGGTTATACGATGAAGTTTGAAGAAGTAAACGGTAAATCCCACGAAGGGTAATTTCGTGATGTGAATAGGTAAATCCCACGAAGGATAGAAGAAGTTGTTACAGGTAAATTCCACGAATGGTAATTCCGTGATGTGAGGAGGTAAATCCCACGAAGGGTAATCTTATGTAGATGTTGATTTTCTGTTGTTGAAATTGTGAAGGCCGATGCCATTGTTAAGAGTAGTTGTTTTTTGGTAAAATCCACAAAGGGCGATCTTGTGGTACTATAATTAAGGCTGATGTCACACTATAGTTTGTTAATTTTCTGTTTTAAAGGCCGAAGCCAATGCTAAATGAAGTTGTTGACAATAAATCCCACGAAGGGTAATCCTGCAAGAAATTGTTATAACTGGCATGAGGGTGTGTTACGACTTTATAAGAAGTTGTTCTTTGATTGAAGCTCCTACGAGAGGTGTAGACATCAGTTTGAGGGGCTGAAATTCTTTGGGAAGAACCAATATGAAATTGCACCGTTCTTGATTATGGATTTAGGTTTTGAATACCTGTCAGTTTAGTGAGCAAGTAGCATCTGTACAAGTAGCATGTTTGAGTATGGATACCTGTCAGTTTAAGTATGGATTTAGGTTCATGTTTGTGGGACCGCAATTGAGAAGAAAATGAGGAGCAAAAGCAAGCTCAATTGCTGCAATCTAAGGGCAACAAAACCCTTTGCAATCAGAAAGCATCACCAAAGTCAATCTGGAACAAGAACATTCTGTAGTGCGTCCATTTGTCCATATTTCAGTGTTTGCTATTTGAGACTTTGCTGCAATCTCAAATTGGGATACCCCAGTTGAGATTGAGCGGGAGCATTAAGGGCACAAGTCAATAATACAGTTAGCAATATAGTTAGTATTTGGTTAGAGTAGTTAAGATTTCTCTTATAAAAACAAAGTGTGTAATCTTCATTTAATCAATTAATACAAATCCTATTTTCTCTCTCTAATATCTTTGTTCATTCTTCTACTCATCCATTCTTCTTAATTTTCCCTTCAATTCCCAAATTTTGCAATGTAGTTAACAAGTGAGAGGTTTTAGGTTCGATTCTCACCGAAAATAATTTTGAACCACATTGTTATGGCAAGTCTATTGTAAGGCTTGGCTCACTTCCTCACTCCTTAATGTAAATTATATCGTTTGTTAAAAAAATAAATTATACCCACGAGCATGTTTACCTTACTAATACATATATTTTAGCTCTCATAAGTTTGATTAGTTAAGAGAGTTCATTATTCAATTGTTTGATTTATCTTGACTAGTTTACTTTTATTTATGTAAAGGTATGAGAAAGAGAATGCAAATAGCAGGCCACGTGGTCCAGTGGATTAATGAAGTACAAATGTGCAAGTACAACCCCGTGTAGTTGGTGTTGAATATTCTAATAATATATTAATATATTCGTATGGAAGAAGTTGGGTATTTGCCCAACAGTTGCTCTTCATCATATTAAAGCAATGTGACTTTTCAAACTTTACTAAAAGACATGATTCATGTCTGACTAGTGCATGGTTTACTAACAGACACAACTTTTGGTAATTGATGCTTTGCATCAGACATGCGAATTGACATATGTTGTAATATTAATTCAGTTGTATCTTATGGCGAGAAGACATATTTAAAATCAAAGGATATGTCTAACAGGTGCAATCTCTCATATATATTGGTAAATTGGTAGAAGAGAAAATCATTTAGAAATTTGTTGTATACACAATTTCATTGCTCTCTCTTCTCTCTCTATCACATTCATACAATTTCTTTCTAGTTATTTTTAAGGGAATATAATTTGGTTTTGCTAATCGAATATTTCATACTTTGTTGTATCCTAGAAGTGACTTGACAAAAACCCTTTAGCAAACTCATTCGAGTGGAAACAAATAATACTTTAAGGAAACGATTCAAGTCGTACCTCAAAATCATCATTTGGATTATTCTCTATATTTCTACCTTTACTCTAACTGTTGGGGCAGAAATAAAGGGTCCAAGTTAAAAAGCAAGCAGCTCACTTGCAAACAAGTTGCAAACAACAAAGAGTCCTTCGTCCTTCGTCCTGTGCAACTGAGTCAGCGACATCGCCAGGTGCGAAAAGCCAGGAACACAGAGAAAATAGGAATCCAGTGACATAAGCATGCGTACGTTCTGGATGGGTCGACTCAGTGGAAGCGGAAGCTGGCATCTCTGCTATCAGTTAGTTTCCAATCTTTAGAACTCTTTCTTTAATTTCGTTTATGGAGAACTAATCTCCCTAGCTAAGGCTAAGAGGAAAAATCTATATTAATTACCATTATGGATATTTCAAGGAATTTTTTATTTATTTTATTTTCGAATTGATGGATGTTAGTTATAATTCATAGGTTCAATCACGTTTTTCCTATAGTTTTGTTTCACATTCTTTTTTTTAGTGAATTGAACAAATTAGTAGATTGGTATGATTTCGATGGAAAATTTTCTTAATATTTTGTTGTCTTAGGTACAAATTATTTTTGGGATTATTTCTATAGGGAATTGAATTTGTGTTTTGTTTTGAATAACTATAATGAAAAATCACTTTTCAAACAGTTTTATATTGAAAATATTTAATTGCCATATCATCCGACTGAGAGCATTTTACGTTTGTATCTCAGTTGAGTTATAATGAATCAAAATAATGAAATTCAATAGTTGTATGCAGGTGGAATCCCGATGCTTTAGTGTTTATAATCGTTGAATTTTTCTTCTAAAATTTAAATCTCATCCAATATTATTGTTCATTTCAGTTGCAACAAATTCTGCATTCTTTTTCAACACTTTCTTAGGAATACGGACACTCAGACTTTAAGTTTATACCGCTACACAACACCTACACATAGGTTGAGCAAGCAGAAACAAAGATGATAAGAAGGAATCATTTCTCTATGTTGGTTGGCAGGTTTAGCTAGAGAGTGACTTCTCTCTCTTTTGTTTGGGCTGAAAAAAAAAAAAAAAGATAAAAGAATATCTAATCTGATGTAGTAAAAATTGGGCTGACATTTCCTATTTCAGATATAAAAATACAAATGTATTATGTTCAATTTCTAGGTCTTCACAGAACTCATGATTACATAACATACTGGAGTGTGAGTTGGGAGATGTTTATTGATGAGGAGTCTCAAAAGCATTCTCACACCTTTTGTTCAATGTCATAGCTGAAATTGTCTTGAATTTGGTTGTGTGAAATTGGTTGTTATGCATATGTTGCAGGATCGTCGTGGGGTAATTTGTAAGTGACTTAAGATTTGAGTTCACTTAAGTTTAACTTGTCACGCCCCAATCCCGACATACATTCAAGATTAACACGTGACGTCACCAAATACCCGTATCTCAACCTACCCTGCCTCCGAGATATGGCAAATCATAACTCGAGAATCGAATCGCGTAGAAAATTTTCATATACTTTATGGCTGCATCTAACCTCCTCGTTAGACTGCCTACGTACCCTCATTAGGGATCAAACCATTCGTAGTTCGTCATTCACTACCCATCAACATTTATGACAGCACATTCAACCTGAAAGATATAACACTCCTCAATCAATCATTAGAACTTGACAAATATGGAAGTACTAGATTCAAGGCTACATAACAATCCAATATGACAATCAACATTTCTACTTCATCCATCATATAAATCACTATGTTTTCAACATGAAACCTTAATCCACAACATGTAACATATCCAAGAACCAACAAAGCATAGTATTATTCTCAAGCCACATTGAGCAACGAGACTAATCATAATAATAATAATCATATCCCACATCATTCCGCAATCATTCTAATTAATCAATCCTAAAAATCAACGAAGCATGATATCAACATTTACTATGTTATTCAATCAATAAGGTTCCATATCAATTCACAAATTTTAATAAAGGATCCCTACATAATTCCCCACCTGGATTCCAAGCACTAACATGATAAGTCTAATTTATACACAATCTCTACTATGAACAATTCATATTCACTCGATTCCAAGGTCGAACTATCTTTATGGAAAATGAGTAAGAGTAGGGATTCCAGACCACTCAACAGAATCCAACCAAAATACCAAATGACCTCTTGTACTCTCTTTAGACTTGACATCTGTACAATCAGCGTCTACACCATGGGAATAATGCATCGGCATCAAGAACTTGGATAGGCTGCGAAGCTCGTGTAAAAGGTCGTACCCAGTGCACAAGGCTCCCGTTTTACGCAGGGTCTGGAAGAGGTAAATGTCGGCTAGCCTTACCCCCAATAATACAAAGTATGTGATAATAATGATAAAATCAACCATCAATCACAGTTTAGAAACCTCGAATATAAATCATTTGTAAAGAATCAATACCAAACATTTGAAAACTATGAAGGAGTCACACAAACATCCAACGGTTCGTCTAAAACAAATCACATCTCACAACCATAATCTTATACAACACAATGAAAAGTAGGCTAGAGCGACATAGTAGGCTAGAGCGACAATAATACAAAGTAGGCTAAAGTGACACAGTTCGGCCGAAGCCTACATCTTTGAAGTTATCTTAATCCAAATTCAATGAAACCCAAGGTGGATATGATCCCAGACCATCACTCAAAGGAATTGCGGAGTATGAGGGACTTCGGACCATCTCTCAACAGAATCCGAGTGGATACGATTCCGGACCATCACTCAACGGAATCGCGGAATAGAAGGAATTCCGAACCATCTTTCAACGGAATCTGAGTGGATACGATTTCGTACCATCACTCAACGGAATCGTGGAAGGTCAACAACCATATGTACAACGGCTCAAGTAAATGAGACAAACACAAGTTACTTAATTTACCAAAGCTCAACCAAGGGAAATAAGGCACAAATACTAAATTTAAAACGAAGCAACAAATCCCCATCCCAATGGTTTAATGATCCACCACTAGCCCTCACATTTCATCACAACATGCCAATCAAACAAATCAAACCATATTTCAATATATACACGTCAAATCTCATTTCATAAACTTAAATCAATGGCTAAGCATTAAAAATAACAATTCAATAGAAAACATATTTATAAAACCAAGTCATATTCACACAGGATAACAATTACGAAAACAAGGTAATCACCGATATCACATAAATTAAAATCACTCACCGAGATGAGCCGTAAAGACTCATTGAGCCTCTATTAATACTAATTTTATCTTTATAAACGATTCGAGACATGCGTCAAACGAGAAGGACACGCCCCACAATGAGCCCATCAAGTTCCATGAAATCTCAACCACACTCTATGATAGTTGACACACTAGAAGAACTCGAACTAGTTGACTAAAGAGCCAATCGTTGTCTTCCGCTCCAACTAAATATATTTCTTACACTGTCACAAACCCTAACCGTGCACGTACTGCATTTAATATGGTCATGCATAGTTTTAATTATCTTTTTAAGCACTGTCATATTGGTTTAGTTGTAATCGATCCTTATACATATACACGTCTACAATTTTGTGATTAAGTTTTGAGTGATGAATTTAATGTGAATTTTGGGAGGTTTTATGAATTGGGTTTTTTGGCATTTCATGCAAATGTGCCTAACCTGGAGAGACTCGATTTCACTCTGCAACGAAGAAATGCTATCCGAGTTCCCTTGAATTACTTCCTCCTCCTCTTCTATAAGCTCATTCTTCTTTTTCAGTGCCTTAATCTTCTCACTGGCGTCGAATTCTTCGACATCCAAGAAACACAAACCACCAGCCAGGAAAACCCAAACAACACTCAAAACACACAAAAAAAGCTCGAAATCAAATTCGACTAACATCGATGTTGTTTCTACTCACAAAGTAACTAAACAATTAAGCATCTTTATTGCTCTGACTAAAATTATAAAAATTGAAAAATCAAAGCTTTACAAGTAAGCACCAGAGCTCAGCTAATTGGCAGTATTACTTGGATGCCAAAACATAAACACAAAATTATAAATGGAAAGGAATTAAAGCGCTTCCCAATTGAAAAACCAAAGGATCTCTAACTTTAGTAAAATCTGTTTGGATGGCCAGAAAACCGAGGGAAAAAAATCGAATTCCACAAACACTTGAAAAATCACAAATTTCGTCCAATAAACCCTAGAATTCGCAGAAGATGATAGAAACGAACCTAGGGAGTGGATCTTAGGCCTGAGCTGATTCAGCTCGATCTTCAGAGCGGAAGAATCAGGGGTGTCCGATCGGGGGAACTTCACTGGCTCTTCTTCCTCCGCCGGGATTGAAGCGACAGCCCGAATCTGGGAGAAAATAAGGGCAAGAAAGATTGAGAGAATCACGAGCTTGGAGGCCGCCATGGGAGCATGGCGGAGCCAGGAATCAATGGGCCTTTTTTTTTTTTTTCCTTTCTCATTGGCTGCTGCCTAAGTTAACCTCTCTAAAATCTGATTGGTCCGCTTCCTCTTCTAACTGATTAGTCCCTTACCCCATATATATGATTGGGCCTCTTTCCCACAAAGTGTGAGTTTAAATAATTCTTAAAATCTATAGAATCACAACTTCAAACGTCCGTAACTATACCGTTATAATCCGTATTCGCAAACGGCTTTCATCTATGTGCTCGTGACTTCAAGACTTATTCAAAAACGTTACTTGTGACCTTGAAAGGTCAACGAGTAAATAATAATTTTCCAAACTTCATTCTTCGTAACTAGTTTAATTCAAATCTAATTTCAAATAAATTAATATAAATTCTTGAAAAATAATATAAAATCTCAATAATACAAATACGCAGATTATAACAGTGAAATCCGGGAACGGGATTTCACATAACTAGCCTTCATGTGGGCGAAGCCCACCCCTCCCCATTAGTATAGATAATATTATTTGTTTTAAAAAAATAATTATTTGATAACTAATTGAATCACATTATTATACACATACGAAAAACTTTTTTTATAACTGGCATTACGCACCTCTCTTTAGATATTTTGAATGTCTTTAAAAATAGATAAAATAATATTTAATAAACAGCTGATTGAATCACATTATTGATAACCCATTGCAAAGTACTAATTATAAAAATTAAAAATTAAAAAAATTGTACACAAAAAAATAATTATAAAAAAATAATATTTATATGACGAAAATACGTCTGCATTATTTGATGAATTATTTTTAGATGCACTTGAACTTTTTTGTTTGGAAGTTATTTTTTGTCCCATTCTTTTTTGTGAAGCCCGTGACTCCAAATGGGCTTCGGGCTTTATATAGTAATACAGATTAGGACTCTGTTCAATAAAATGCTTCATGTACTTGGCAAGTTATTCTTGATTTGTGATGGGTTGGCATTTTAGACTCGTGAGAGATCTTTTTTTTTGTTTTCGAAAAAAAAAAACGCTAGAAGAACAAGAAATGCACCAGTCGTGAAAAGATGTTAATTAATCAATTAATTAATTTTTTTAACAAATAATATTATCTACATTAAGAAATTGATTGACTTTGTTCAAAACTATTGTTTTTTTAGTTTTACTCACTCAAGTTTTATAGGTGCAGTGCAGGGTTTAGGATTACTAAAGATTACAAAACACTATAATGTTTTTTTTTTTTTTTTTTTTTTTTGCTAAAAACACTTTTACAATTATAGTTTTACCAAAATAATTTATTGTTTTATTTCATAACTGCTTATTCTCATAACTCAGTAGAAACAATTTTTTTTCAAAGCACTGCAATACAAACTAGCGCACTATGTTTAAAAAATACTGAAATGCGTGGCCAAGAACCAAATCAGGTTAAGTTCACCATCAATTCTTTCCTTTTCTTCTCCTTTTCATTTTGGTAGGTTACAGTCAATCCAATCAAAGTCGCAATGAAATTTACAACGCAACTTCACACCCACCGAACCCAACGGGAAATAAAATGTTTTGGAAAGGTAAAATCACATTCAAATTCATATCCTTTTTTTTGGTTAACTGAAAACTTTTGCGGTATTTGAAACTGGAACTACTCTAGGGATAAAATCGATGTTAGATAGCTTCAATGAACGTTAATTTGGATATAGACCCATAAAACTGTTTATATATCTGTATATTATCGAATTATACGGCAGAAAAAAACAAATTTGTGTGTCATTTGGATCCATCTGCTCCCCTCTAATGCCAGTCTAGGAAGGTGAGTATCGCTTTCGCTCCCATTTTTTCTCCATACATGTGGACAAGGGTTTTTTTTTTTTTTTTTTTTTTTATAACACAAGCGACAATTTAAGGGTGGGAGAATCTCACGCTACAAACTCCTGACGTGTCTAAACACAATTTTTAACAACCAATTCAGGTCAAGTCTTTCTTTTTATCTATTTCTTTAGTCCAGGTCTATTATAAAGGTTCAAGTCCAACCGATCAGAACCCCAGTGAAATTAGTAGGAAATGTAAGTGTATGTTCCTAACAACCAATTCCAGTCAAGCCCACCATCGGTCTTTTTCAAAACAAAAGAAAAAGACCCATGAAATTTACAATGCAATTTCACACCCACCCACCCAAATAATGCACACACAAAAAAAAAGTTGTAGGGCATGCCTTCGCGCTTCCCATTGCCCTCTGGCGCATTATAAATAACCTCTCGAGGTTGAACTACGATAGTACACACCACACCACACCACTACAACCTGTCTATATTCTAGTGTGATAACCACCAAAACTTTCTCTCACTGAGGAAATGGCATCTTCTCCTAATTCTTTGGTCTTCACAGTGCGGAGGCGCCAACCGGAACTGGTGGCGCCGGCAAAGGCCACGCCACATGAGTTTCGACAACTTTCTGATATCGATGATCAAGAAGGTCTTCGATTTCAGATCCCCGTGATACAGTTTTATAAGTACGATCCCTCCATGCAAGGAAGGGATCCTGTGCATGTCCTTAGAGAGGCAATTGCACAAACCTTAGTGTTTTACTACCCTTTCGCCGGTAGGCTCAGGGAGGGACCTAACCGGAAGCTCACGGTGGAATGCACGGCTGAGGGTGTCATGTTCATTGAGGCTGATGCCGACGTTACCCTAGAGCAATTTGGTGACGCCCTTCAGCCACCGTTCCCTTGCTTGGAGGAGCTTCTTTATAATGTTCGTGGTTCCGATGGGGTTCTTAATTGCCCACTCTTGCTAATTCAGGTACGATTACGTATGTACTTTATAGAAAGTTAGGACTCAAAATTTCATCATTAACACTTTTCAGCTCATGTCAGTGATACGATATTCATCATTTTTTTTCTTTTTATTTTTGTGTTATTATTTTGTACTGAAATATTAGATTTTTATGATTCAAATTATGTTTCTATGATCCAAATTTTTTTTTAAGAGATGTGTCTTCTTATCCAAAAACAATAGACGTACGATACACATGGATTCATAAAAATGATAAGATATCCACTTAATTCTGGCAAACAAGTTGACTACCCTGACGTTAATAACATAAAAAGTAAAAAATTAGAAGTGTGAACGTCAGTGAAAAATTAGAAGTGCCAAGATATGTATAAACAAACTAGTACATGTCACTAGAATCACTTAATAAATGTTGGTTAACGTAACTTGGTAGTATAATTTAGTAATTTTTTTAGAGAATTGTTATTGACACTCTAAAAATCTCATTTTACACTCTTCATAAGTGTATTTTACTTTCTAAATATAGAAAGTTTAGAATGCAAAATGAAAATTTTAAAATGCCAATAATAATTCTTTTCTTTTATAAGTGAATGATCTTAAATACAACCTTCTTGAATTTCAAATTTGATACTAATTTATTATGATTTGTTCATGGTGTAAGTTACACCAAATTTCATAAATCTTCTTGTGTAAATATAGGCCTTGTGTGGTAGGATGGATGAGATATATTGTGATCAATTAAAATAGACTTGAGTCTAGTCCGTTGTTTGTTGTGTTAAAACGTGAGATGGACATGACTGGATATGATGGGTTATGAATCCACAATAGAGTGGGTTATCTAACTTATCTCTATACATGAGTTACAAGTTATGTCTTACAAATCTCTGCCAATTTAATCATATCTCTAATGTCAAATCTCATTCAACCAACCAAACGAAGCAATAGTATTATATAAGTATATTTTAAGCATCTATATTGTTCTTCTTCGTAGTAGTGATGAAATAATAATTAGGCATCCATCTCTCTTATTTTCAAACTTGCCATCTATCATGCATCCATGATTAAAAGATCATGATGGTTTTTTGAGAAAATTTCAAAGTTGCAATCTATCATTCCCGATAAAAATCTATGGAGAAATTTCACGTGTGTGGTCCATCACATAGAGAAATTTTTAATTGTGACGAGAACACAAGTGGTAAATCATGTGTTTTAATATGAGTAGTAAAAAAATTTATTTTTTAAATTATTAACTTTTTAGCACACATATCCTATTATTTATATAATAACACGTGATGTACCATCCCGTGTACCGATCATATTAAAAAATTTCCATGCATGACTGTTTCAACAATGGTTTGCGTGCTAACAGTAAACTAGATCGTCCAAAAGAGTATATAGCATCTTGAATGTCAGCCCCAAAAGAATATCTTGACTAGTTAGGTATAATTATATTTTATACCCAATAATTTTGTTTAAAATATAAAATTTGAACTATTTTATATTATTACTAGGTTTGTAACTTTAAAAATGTCGGACAAAAACATATGGTACTTAAAATAATGAAAGAGGATCCTGTCCGTACTTACTTTGTGGGGATCTTAAAGATCTCCACATTTTAACTGTTTATCTTACATGGTGTGTGATCAGTTTTTGTGATGTATTATTTGTATTTAATTTTAAATAAAAAAGTTAGATAATTTCTGATCATACGATACATGACGAATAATTAAAATGTGAGAATCTCTAAAATCTTTACAATTTGAATCCATATGAAATTCAAATCCTAAAATAATGATCTTGAACAAGGACGATCTACCTCGCCGACACTAAGTTACCATCGATGAAAAATTAAATACAGACGGGTAGCATCAATATATATCACATGTGTAGACACATCAGTAAATTTTTTTTCTTTTCTTTTTATACCAGCTATTATTTTGGTTTTCTTTTCTTTTTATATCAGCTATTATTTTGGAGCAGATAACATATTATTTTCCTTTTCATGATAGTACGTAAGGTTAAGGAAACTCAGGACAATTATTGTCCTGTTTGTAGAGTAGTTTGTTGTAACGTAGCCTTCAACTAAACAGTATTTGTCGTAATTCATAAACAGGTGACGCGGCTCCAGTGCGGTGGTTTCATCGTCGCCCTCCGTCTTAACCACACCATGAGCGACGCGGCGGGGCTCGTCCAATTCATGACGGCCTTGGGAGAGATAGCGCGTGGCGCAGTTTCCCCGACCGTCCAGCCGGTGTGGCAGAGGGAGCTGCTCAATGCGCGTTACCCACCGCGTGTGACGTGCACGCACCGCGAGTACGAAGAAGTGGAAGACACCAAGGGCACCATAATTCCACTTGATGACATGGTCCACCGGTCCTTTTTCTTCCGCCCCACCGAGGTGTCCGCCATCCGAAGATTTGTCCCGCAGTTCCTCAGCAAGTGCTCCACGTTCGAGGTCCTCACGGCCTGCCTCTGGCGCTGCCGTACCATCGCGCTCCAGAAGGACCCAAATGAGGAGGTGCGCGTGTTGTGCATTGTGAACGCGCGGTCCAAGTTCAACCCTCCGTTGCCAGTGGGTTATTACGGCAACGCTTTTGCGTTCCCGGTGGCGGTGACGACGGCAGGGAGGCTATGCAACAACCCATTGGGGTACGCGTTGGAGCTAGTGAGGAAGGCCAAGGCGGACGTGACGGAGGAATACATGAGATCGTTGGCTGACCTCATGGTTATTAAGGGTAGGCCCCACTTCACGGTGGTGAATTCTTACCTTATGTCTGATGTGACACGTGCTGGGTTCGGAGAAGTGGATTTTGGGTGGGGGAAAGCGGCTTATGGTGGGCCAGCGAAGGGCGGGGTCGGGGCAATACCTGGAGTGGCTAGCTTTTACATACCGTTTAGAGACAACAGAGGGGAAGATGGGATCGTGGTTCCGATTTGTTTGCCGGCGGCGGCGATGGAGATATTTGTGAAGGAACTAGATACCATGTTGAATGCGGATGAAGAACCGATTAGGGTTCAAAGCTCTACCAGTTTTATTACGTCTGCCCTGTAGTATATGAGTTTCTGCTCGACAATATGTATGTCGTACTGCGTGCATGTATTTATTTGCTTTTATTTTCCCTAATTAGTTTCTTTTCTACTGTAATATGGATGTCTCCTTGATACTACAGATGCTTTGGTTACGAAAGCAAAATTAGTTGGGGGTAGTTTTTTCGCAAATTGACTTTTATACCCTTTGTAAATTTCCTACGTGGACAACACACGGTAAGGATAATGAAATGTTGGATGGAAAATTTGAAAACTTCATGAAATGGAGAAATTGAATAATTATAAAATTTCAAGAGAGTAATCAACGAATGGAGAAAACTAGCAAGTGAGAGAATTCTAGTCTTTTAGAGGGGTACTTTTCAAACTTATGAATTCTGTAGAAAAGAGAAAAGGATTGAAAATGGGCCAAACCAACGACCAGTCACATTAGCATTCTAATCGGAATTTCCGCTAATTTTTCAGTAGCTAAGCTTTGTTCTTTCTGGGTTAGGAATTTAGGGGAGGGAAGGGAAGGGAAAGCAAAATTAGTTGGGGGTAGTTTTTTAGCAATTTGACTTTTTTACCCTTTATAAATTTCTTACATGGACAACACGCGGTAAAGATAATGAAATGTTGGATGGAAAATTTTAAAACTTAACGAAAGGGAGAAATTAAATCATTATAAAAGTTTAGAAAAGTAATTGGCTAAAATTAAAATTTAGTAGAAAAATTACGCATTACAAGTTTATAGGATTAATCGGCAAATATTTTTTTTTCCAAATATTCCTCGATCTCAATCTCTCCCTTACATCCCTCTCGTACAATGTAAATATAATCAACGAAATCGAAAAGTTATTTAGTTTTGATGTACTGCGACATATCTTTTGCATTTTTGTCTTTATATAATTTTACGATCTTATCTCATTGATTTTTCTTTGCATCAACAATACCATCAAATATAGGGGTGGGCACGGCCTGGTCGGGCCCAAATTTAATGAAACCGGACCCTATCCAATTAGAGTGAAATAGGACGGGACGGGGTGGATCATTGCATTTTCAAAAATGTAACCGGACTTAACTCGATCCGTTTGAAATGGGCCAAAAGGGTCAGTCCCAACGGGTCCATTTCCTGATCCAATTCCAAACAGAAAAACCTAATGTAAATTTTTGAAGACAATGTGTGAGTAAAGCTTGTGTTTCTGTTCTATTTCTTTTTTGGCAAAAATCCCTAATTTGGTTGTTTTTTTTTTTTTTTAAGAGTAACGGCGTCTAAGGATGATTTGGAGCCAGGAAAAAATCCCTAATTTTCTCTACTTCTTGAGATCGACGTGGCTTCCTGGACTATTTTCACTGAGGTTTCTCGCTTCAAATCAGTATGTTCTATAGCTCTGTTCGAATTCGTATGAAAAAGTAGTGAATTATTTGTTGTTTGTAGGTTTTTTGAAATGGATTTTTTTGTGTGGGATTTATTGGAATATTTTGGGTTTGTTGGGTTTTGCTGCCCTGACCTTGCTGATGAGTGGTCATGTAAGGTTATTAAAACTTTTTAAATTTTTGGGTTTTGCTGTAATTAATTAAAGATTTGATAAAGACATTATTTATTTCGTGGAATTCCTTTTAAACATTAGAATTTGCTTTGTCTCACATTTGATGATTTGGGTATTGAGCAGCGATGCATTGATGATAATCTGTTTATAAAAAGGAGCCATTTTTTATGATGAGAGTAGAAGAGTTGCCACAACGCTCGAGGTCACCAACCCCAATGCTAATCCAGGGAAAATAATTCGGACAAGATTAGAAAAAAAATGATTAAGGTAAATAATAAGCCTTATATAATTTGTTACATTATCAATCAGTAATTTATTGGTCGTACGTCTGCAAGTGTGGTGTCAAATTTCGATAGCCAAATAGAAGGTTATGGGGGTTTTGTATATTTGAGTGTTATACTTTTTTAGAATGATCTTTGCTGGTGTTCTTTTTGGTTGCATATACGAATTACAAATCAGCGAGATTGCACACTCCTCATTGCGTTGTTGATAGGAGTATATTTATGCGACTTAGTTAACTTGTTTTCTTGCATTTTCATAGTTAGTTTCTACTTATTAGAGTGTTTTAAGCTATTTTCGTGTGTTTATAGGTCCAAATGACAAAGTTGCCAAAAAAGTGCAATTTGGAGCATTTTAGAGCTGTTGTGGGCCAGAAATAGATAGCACATGCATGGAGCAAGGTGGATGGACGTTTTTAAAGTTCAAGAGGTTAGGAATATGCTGAAGAGATGAAGAAAATAAAGTCAAGATAAAGAAGATAAGGAATCAACTAAAAAGAAGGAACGTTATCCAAAACATTATCCAACTTATCTTATCTTATCTTATCCTAACATTATCCTAATCATATTCTACCTTAATTCCAGCTGCAAGGGGGACTTATTTTCAGATTAGGATACCTACAAATCAGGTTTCTAGAAGCCAAGATCCTATCCCTAATTTGGTGCCGCACCTAGCCCTTCTAGAAGCTATATTTCCTGATGCAAGGACTACTTCTTTTCCTCCCTGAAATTTGATGAGAATTGTCCTTGTTCTTTGCTGATTTGGAGTCCTAATTCAGCCTTTTTGCCATGCCTTCCATCTTCCTATAAATACATAGTGCCGCATAAGTCATAAACCACCCTATTTCTCATCATAAAATTGCACCACACACCCATCCTACACAGAAACCTCTTTGTGCCGCAGCTTTGCAAGGAGAAATGAGAGGAGACCTTTTGCCGTGCCCTGCCATTCAAGCTTGGATTGCTGAAGAATTCTTAGGTGTATTCTATCTTTTAATTTCAATGTTTAATTTAAGTTATCTTTGTTTAAGTGCGAACATGAGGAACTAAACTCGATTTAGCTAGAGATGAATTTAAAGCCATGAACATATATTGCATATGAATTGATTACATCCAGTTATAATTTCATAAATCATGAATGCAATTTGCTTAACTGTTTAATTCAGAATTTGTTCTTGTATATTGATTAAGGATGCATACTTAGTTTGCATGTATGAATTTGATGCTAAAATATAAGGGAGTTTTACCTAATAGTTATGAACTTATATTTAAAAGTAGTGGAGGTCACTAGTCATGATCGTGTTAAGTAAATTCCTGACAGGAGTATCATGTTGTTCATAGTTACGAATGTCTTGTCAATGCTTATGATTTTCATAGAACTTAATGATCTTTGATATGTATCTCTATCATGTTATTCGTGTAGGGAACTTGATAAGAATAATTTGGTTGCAATGCTGAGTCCAATTCAATGAACTTAGGAAAATTTGAGGGTTAATTAGTGTTGTTCACGGTTAATCTAGGGTGTTGCCATTCATGGTTTATAGAAAGAGTAACTGGAAATCGGTTCGTATGCATATGTGTCATGTGTGGAGAAGGACCCTCTAGCTAGCCATTCACCCATTAAATCACCCAATTTCGTTCAAAGTTAATTAGAGTCTTAAATCTGTTTAGTTTTAGTCTTAAATTCGTCAAAAACCAATCTCCCCTTTATATTTCGTGTCTTTAGGTTAGAATATGTCCAAATTGGTTTCTTTTCATTGTTTTAAGTCTTTTTAGTTTAGAATTCGTCCAAAGTCATCCTTAGTGTTAGTTTTGAATAAGTTTGCTTGTTTTGTCCTGTTTTGAGTAGTTTGAGTTAGTTTTGAGTCATAAGAGTCTAGTTTAGTGTTTTTAAGTCTAGTTAAGTAAAATTGAGTCTAATTTGAGTATATTAGTAGTCCTTCCTAATCCCCGGCCTAAAACGATCCTTACTTATCCATACTACAATTGTCAAAAAGAGGATTTAATTTGTGTGTTAATTTATACCACATCAGTTGTAAGTTCAATTACTCATCCTATAAGAATTGCTTCATAATTGTAATATTCAAAACCAGATGGTTTTTTCGATTGTGATTCAATTGTTATTTTCCTTTCCAATTGTTGTTCTTCATTTTTGTTTCGGTTTGTGGCTGTGGCTTCCATTAATTAAATCTCACGTCTTCTCAACCACCCCAAAGCCAAATATTTGATTTTTCACTGTGGTTTGTTACTGCAATCACAAATTTAATTTCATTTTTTGCTCTTATGTGTTCTTGGTAGATCTGAGTGCCCTCCCCTCACTTTCTCGATTATCAACTGGTTCTTCTTGCTTGGTCTAATTGGGTATGTTAAGAATTTTATCTGTTAGTAAAATCTCAGGCGAGAATTTTTTGACCGACAGTTTTTTTTTTTTTTTTTTAAATATTTATATTGCCGAATGAATGTGGAATTCCTTCGGAGTCTCTGCAAGTTTAGAGTAAGGTATGTTGTTGTTTTGAATGTGCATTTTGTGAGTTGGGATGTTTTAATGAGAATGTTTTGAATTTAGTGGAATCTCAATCTTAATGGGTTTTTATGATGTGCCTTATCACTGAATTTATCTGCATTTTTCTAATGTTGGTCTTGGGATTGTGATGACTGCATTGTGTGGATTTTGTTTGAATTGCCAAATTTTGTCAAAGATTTGAGAGTGGTTCTTGAATGAATTTGGATTAATATATACAATGTCACATTCCAGTCTTGATTCCGTCGTAACACGATATTATCCGTTTTAGGTCCCAGCCACGTTCTCATGGTTTTGTTTCTGGGAACTTACACGAGAACTTCTTAGTGGGTCACCCATCCTGGGAATGCTCTCGCCCGAACTTGATTAACTTCGGAGTTCCGATGGAATCCTAAGCCAGTGAGTTCCCAAAATGCCTCATGCTATAGGAGGTGGGCATGTACATATAAGGCACATCACTTCCTCTCCGTTGGTCGATGTGAGATGTTACAATCCACCCCCCTTAGGGGCCCGACGTCCTTGTCGGCACAATTGCACCACACACAGAGTGACTCTGATATCATTCTGTCACAACCCAGTCTCGACTCCGCCGTAGCGTGATATTGTTCACTTTAGGACCCGGTCACGCCCTCACAGTTTTGTTTTTGGGAACTCACATAAGAACTTTCCAATGGGTCACCCATCTTGGGAATGCTCTCGTCCGAACTCGCTTAACTTCGAAGTTCCGATGGAATCCGAAGTTAGTGAATTCCCAAAAGGCCTCATGCTATAGGAGGTGGGCATGTACATATAAGGCATATCACCCCCTCTCCGTTAGTCAATATAAGATGTTACATACGAGGGTAACAAGTGGGATGTAAATAAAAAAAGGGCCTAAATGTGACAATTTATGGGTTTAGATTCATTGGAAATTATGAAAGAATATTGCATGGTTTATGATTAATGTGAAAAATTGGTACTTTTGTAGTGATATATGCTTTTGGAGAAAGTTGTAAAATTTGATACTTTCTAGCTTTAATCTACTCATTCATAACTTCGGATATATAAAGTTAAGATAGATTACTGTTACATTATGAGCGTGAAATGTGAAGAAACATAAAAATTGCAAACAAAAAGTGAACTACAAGATCGAGCACTTATGGTGCCTCCAGTTGTCAATTTTTGAGAGGAGTCTTTATCTTGACCATGAAGTTCACAAAATTCTTGATGGCTGTTGACAATATATGGAAATCCCTAAGTCAAATATTATAAATGTAATATATATGTGTAAGTGTATGTAAATTCATGATTTGAGATATAAAATTAAGGAGAAAAATATAAATTTAAGGAAGCTGTTATTGGCACCCCACAATAGTTATCTTGCACTCGAAATTTAGACAACCACAAAGAAAATTTTGTGTGATTGCAGCTCAGAAATGGGATGATCAAGATAGTAGCTCAGAAATAATGACACTCAAATTCAATTATAAATCATACCCTATGTATAATTGAAGCTCATAAATGGGAACAAGATAGTAGGAATTCAATTCATTATTATAATTCAAACATGTTGAAGTTTCTTTTTGCACTTGGTAACCGTTGTAGGAAAAGTAAGTGTTGAAAGTAACTGGCATTTTCTGTGTCATCGCTCATTTCTTCTAAAAAATGTCTTGCACAAATCAAGAAGAACGAGGACAAGGGAGACGGGGAGATCTAGACTGATCGACAGAGTTCCTTTTTGTTTTTCCGTTGTCTTAAGGTATAGATCCCTTCATTTAATTTAGTTTATTTTATTTTATTTTATTTTTAGGAGCAGTTTGAAGGATTAAAATGTTCTCATTTGGTGTAGATGATCTTGGTTTAGCAAATTGGCAGCGAGATTGCACACTCCTCACTATGTTGTAAGTTTGACTTACTTTTCTTATAAAAATTGCTTCATAATTGTAATATTCAAAACCCGATGGCTTTTTCGACCGTGATTTGATTGTTATTTTCCTTTTCAATTGTTGTTCTTCAATTTTGTTTCAGTTTGTGTTTGCAGTTTCCATTTGATGTAATCCCTCCTCTCAGTTTCCTTTTTAGAAATTTTTTTCTTTTCCTGTTCACAATGTTTATATTTTTCTCCATGATGGAAGTTTTAGTTTTAGGGTCTATGCTTTCATTTTTGGTTACGAATGTGCATATAGCTATAGGTTCTTTTTTTTTTTTTTTTTTTTTTTTTAAATTTAGATCCTGCAAGTTCGAGGCATTGGTGATGGAAATAAATTTGTTGCAATCAATTACAAATCATATGGGCAGAGGTTTCCATATTTGGTAAATTAGTTTTACCAAGTGTTCTTCCTAATAGGTAATAGATCACCCATTATTGTTATTAGATTCGAATTGATTCCAATGAGTGCACATATATAATTTGAATTTGATTCCTTTGCTTCATAGACAAATTTTTGAATTTCTTTCTCTATTTCTCTCTTAATTTTAGTCAACCACGCTAGGCAAAATGAAAACAGACCCATTAGATTAAGGAAGTTCAACGCTACTCATTATCCTTATTGTGGATAGGATTGTAAATAGATTTGCCACATATATATAAATAGAATATCTTATCATATATAGATTTAAAAACTTTCTACATATTTTGTATAGTTTCAAAATCCGCAGCATCGCGGACAATCTTGCTAGTCCTAACTAGAACCAAGATGCAGAAAATCCCAAATCTAGAATTTGTATCCACTTAATACCTGACTAGAACCACATGCAGAAAACACCAAATCAGACAAAGAACAAAAAAAAAAAAAAAAAAAAAAAAAACCCAAATCAAGTAAAACTCGACAAATCTCCTTAAAGGTTATCTTGAAGGATCTCAAACTACAAAAAAGCAAACTAGGATCGACGGAGGCCTCGATCAACGAAGATGGTCATGTGGGTGGGACGGACCTCGATCGACGGAGACGGGGATGAAACTGAATCGACGAAGAACAGACAGAAACGGGGATGAGGCAACGACGAACGGACTGATAGGGATGAGAGTTCAAAGGGAGGGGAGTCTGCTAGGGAGAGAGAAATCGAGAAAGTGACTCTCTCAGTTCGAGGGATGAAAGTCGGTTTCGGGTTGTACAGCTACAGACTCTGTGACTCTGTTGTGTTGTGTGTTGGGGAATTGAAAGAGGGAATTGGATCCTCGCCGGATCTAATTCATGGGAATCGTATGGATCAACTCATATGGACCGTTGATAAAAAATCGTGCGATCATAATTTTTTTCTTTTTTATATTTTCACGTAAAACGAGACTGTTTTACTTTTAAAACATTTAATTGTGACCGTATGATTTTTGATCAACGGCCTACGTGAGTTGATCCCTAGGATCCCCAGCAATTAGATCCGGCGATGATCCAATTCCTTGAAAGAGAAGGGTGGAGATTTATATGGAAGAAAGGTTGGACCACTAAAAAAAGAAATGCGGCAACGAAAGTATGTGGTTGGGAAATGGACCTGGATTGTCTGCTCTCTTAGTTACCATGCCCTTCCATACCCTCCTACTTTTTAGCCATTAACTTCATTTAATGCTCCAGATTTTGTCACTTCACCAACAGCTCCAAAACATCTTTAAAGCCTCCCGCCTCTTCCACTTTTCCTAATCTTCACTCTCCTGCCTCTTCCATTTTTATGCTGCCTTTCCCGTGGTGCCTTTCCGATTGCTGCCTTTCCTGTCACCTCCTTCCGATTCGCCTAATTGCTCTAATCTTCCCAGGTCAGTTTATGTTAATTTTCTTTGCTTGGCCGATTCGCCTAATTGGGTGGATCGGTGCGGTGAGTAATCTAATGGTTTTGAAGAATTCCTGGAAAAGTGGGTGCGGTGAGTAATCCAATTGTATGGCATAAAAAAATGAAGGATTTTCAACTGTCTTACCTTGAAAATATCTTAACAAGCTTCTTGCTTCACCATACATCATTTTTCTTTGCCTTTTAGACAAAAGATAGTTCTTCTGATCAACCTTTGTATAACCAAGAGATTCCATTCCTCCAACATGCTTAGCCATCAACATAAGATTCCCGAAGTGGGATACCATATTCTTTTGCCAAGTCTAACTCAGCAGCCTGAGAGTCTGATATTTTTCGCTGAGATTGTAGCATATGTGTATACTCTGGTTTTTGAAGAGCATGATTGTGTTGTTCCTCAAATTCATACACAAAAAACCTTCCATTAGATCTATTCAACTTAATAACCATTTTAGCATGACAACCTATCCGTGTCCCTGCCCTTGGCTTCTTTCTTGTAATCCGGCTTATCTTGAAGCTTAAAACCCTCCTTACTACAAGCAAAAATTCTTGAAGTGACTTCATTAGTTTTCTTATTCTTGTAGTGATGATCTTTTCTAATACTAAATCCCACTTTTCGTCCGTAGGCATTGTATAAATTATAGGCTGCTTCTTGCGAATCAAACTCCATACCACACCTCGATGTACAATCAAATTCGTTCGAGTCATCATTGTTGATATTATTTGCTTCTTCAGAATCAATCATTTTCAATCGGATCTGCAGTATAGAAAAAGGTATGGTACATAAAAAAATCAACATTTCAAAGTTGTTTCTTACGGAGGTTGTGGGTAATCTAGAACAAAACCCTCTCTAGATTTTCAAAAATCAACATTTCAACATTAAACAGATCCCACGAATCTTTCTTGTTCTCAATTACTTTAGAAGAACAAATAACGGGACATATTAAATCGGAAAAAGAGGACCCCAACATGTTATAAAAAAAGAAAATACAAATCCAATAGCAAAAACAAGCAAAGAAATTAACATAAATTGACCTGGGAAGATTAGAGAAATTAGGCGAATCGGAAGGAGGTGACGGCAAAGGCAGCAATATGAAAGGCACTACGGGAAAGGCAGCAGAAAAGTGGAAGAGGTGGGAGAGTGAAGATTATGAAAAGTGGAAGAGGCAGAAGGCTTTAAAGATGTTTCGGAGTTGTTGGTGAGGTGGCAAAATCTGGAACATTAAATGAAATCAATGGCTAGAAAAGTAGAAGGGCGGATTGTCTGCCCTCCTAGTTACCATGCCCTTCCATACCCTCCTATTTTTCTAGCCATTGATTTCATTTAATGCTCTAGATTTTGACATCTCACCAACAGCTCCAAAACATCTTTAAAGCCTCCCGCCTCTTCCACTTTCCATAATCTTCATTCTCCCGCCTCTTCCACTTTTCTACTGCCTTTCTTGTAGTGCCTTTCTGATTGCTGCCTTTCCCGTCACCTCCTTCCAATTCGCCTAGTTTCTCTAATCTTCCCAGGTCAATTTATGTTAATTTTCTTTGCTTGTTTTTGCTATTGGATTTGTATTTCTTTTTTATAACATGTTGGGGTCCTCTTTTTCCGATTTAATGTGTCTCATTATTTGTTCTTCTAGAGTAATTCACAAGAGAGATTCGTGGGATCTGTTTAATGTTGAAATGTTGATTTTTGAAAATCTGGAGAGGGATTTGTCTAGATTGCCCACAACCTTCGTAAAAGAAACAACTTTGAAATGTTGATTTTTTTTCTGTACCATACCTTTTCCTATACTGCAGATCCGATTAAAAATGATTGATTCTGAAGAAGCAAATAATATCAACAATGATGACTCGAACGAATTCGATTGTGCACCGAGGTGTGGTATGGAGTTTGATTCGCAAGAAACAACCTATAATTTATACAATGTCTACAGACGAAAAGTGGGATTTAGTATTAGAAAAGATCGTCACTACAAGAATAAGAAAACTAATGAAGTCACTTCAAGATTTTTTGCTTGTAGTAAGGAGGGTTTTCGGCTCCAAGATAAGCAAGATTACAAGATAAAGAAGCCAAGGGCAGCGACACGGACAGGTTGTCATGCTAAAATGATTATTAAGTTGAATGGATCCAATGGAAGGTTTTTTGTGCATGAATTTGAGGAACAACACAATCATGCTCTTCAGAAACCAGAGTGTGCACATATGCTACAATTTCAGCGAAAAATATCAGACTCTCAGGCTGCTGAGTTAGACTTGGCAAAAGAATCTGGAATCTTGCTTTGGGAATCTTATGAGTTGATGGCTAAGCATGTTGGAGAAAGGGAATCTCTTGGTTATACAAAGGTTGATCAGAAGAACTATCTTTTGTCTAAAAGGCAAAGAAAAATGGTGTATGGTGAAGCATGAAGCTTGTTGAGATATTTTCAAGGTAAGACAGTTGAAAATCCTTCATTTTTTATGCCGTACAATTGGATTACTCACCGCACCCACTTTTCCAGGAAATCTTCAAAGCCATTAGATTACTCACCGCACCCGATCCACCCAATTAGACGAATCGGCCAAGCAAAGAAAATTAACATAAACTGACCTAGGAAGACTAGAGAAATTAGGCAAATCAGAAGGAGGTAACGAGAAAGGTAGCAATCGGAAAGGCACTACGGGAAAGGTAGCAGAAAAGTGGAAGAGGCGGGAGAGTGAAGATTAGGAAAAGTGGAAGAGGTGGGAGGCTTTAAAGATGTTTTGGAGCTGTTGGGTAGGTGGCAAAACATGGAGCATTAAATGAAATCAATGACTAGAAAAGTAAGAGGGTATGAAAGGGCATGGTAACTAGGAGGGCAGACAATCCAGGTCCTTGGGAAAGGGGTAGGATTCTCTCTCTTTTTTTTTTTCTTTTTTCCTTTTCCTTCTTATTTGAACGGTTATAGTTAAGTCACGTCAACATATTATATTAATTTTTTATAGAAAGAGAATGACAAAATAGAGAATGTGAAAGAAGGGGATGAGAAATGATAGAAAAATGAGGGAAGAGAATCCTAGTCGGTTGGAAAATGTGCGCTATGAAACTTTTTGTTGGAGTGTTTTTGCAAAAATCCCATCGGTGGAAGATTTTAGAAACAATTTAAGGGGGGTGTATTCAATTAGGATTCTGAGAGAGTTTCAGGGAATTAATAATTCTAGGGGTATTCAATTAGGATTTTAAGTGATTCTCTGAAATTCTAGGTGTATTCAATTAGAATTTTAAAATAGTTTATTAAAATCCTTAGAAATCCAGGTGTATTCAATTAAGATTTTAAAGAAGTTTATAACATTCCAGGTGTATTCAATTAGAAATTGATTTTAAAGAATTTGAGAAAGTTGAAGAATTAGAGGGAATTGGAGAGATTTCGTAGTGTATTTTAAGTATCTACAAATCTCACCTCTTCCCATGAGATTTCGAGGGAATTGAATCAAAATTTTATATGGAATCTCTACAAATCAATTAAACTCCATAAAAATCCATGAATTTATAAATCCATTAAAATCTCTCACATTCTCAATTGAATACACCCGCCTAAATTTTGTGGTTAGATAACACTTGTGGTAACAACTCAATTTGCGTTATAAATAACCTAAGTGGCTAAACTATTACATCACATTAGACCTTGACGTAGTTCGTGATAAATAAAATAACCGTGGACGGATTGAACTACTATTTTAAAAGAGTTCACTTCTATAATAGGTCTGGACGAAAGAATTTGGCGAAGGCAACAAATTATTTTGTTGCAAAAATACTTAAGGTTTAAAATAAATAACTCCTTGTGTTGACGAGATGAAGGACCTTAAGAGCCTCCAGACAAAACACTAAATTAGAGAACAAACTTGTTTTAGGTTCAGTTTGCTCCCCTAATAATAGGATCACACAATTGTAATCTTGCTTAACGAAAGATTAAACTGGTAAATTTATAATGATCAAGAGCTATTAAAATACTACCTAATTATCAATTTTTATTTTAGTGTAAGGGTTGTATAATATTTGGTTATAAGATTTTAAAGAGCCACTTAGGGATGCTCTCATCTCATGCTAGTGTGCTTATTATGGGTGACCAAAGTTTCAACTAAATTTGGGCCGGGTTTGAAAATTTATTTTTTAGGGATAGGATTATCTCCCCTCCTCTTTCCATCCATTTTCATTCCCTTTTCTCACATTTTCTATTTTATCTTTCTCTTTTCATAAAAAATTCATATAATATGTTGACGTAGTTTAACCGTAATCGTTCAAATAGAAGGGGAGGGAAGAGAAAAAAAAAATAGGGAAGATAATCCTACTTCTATTTTTTGCTGTAGAATTTAAATGATTTGGCCTTTTCTCCTTCTTTTTGGGGTTCAACCCCATAAATCTTTTGGACTCCTACTGTCGAAGGATATACCAGGGCTTTGGGCCTCAGCGTTGGGTTTGGGTACTAAACCAATGAATATAACGAACAAAAAGAATGAACCTTCACATACAACTTTAACCAAATTAGTTCTAATTTTCCCTGTGGGTTTGATAAAAAGAAATTCAAAAGAAGAAAGATGACCTAAATTTTGATGGGTTATTCTCAAATTTTTAACAACTTAATGCCATCTCACAACCCACTCACTAGAATTTGGAAAAACATTTAGGTAACTCAAGTATTATATTTCTCTTCAAGTGGTTTGTAGTACAGTTGATTAAGAGTAGTCGTATTTGCAGTCGAGGTTCTATTTCGAATCCCTTCTCCGTAGTTTAGTGTAGTATACTATTATTTGTTAAAAGAAGGTATTATATTTCTTTAAGGAACAAGACATGTGTAATAGAAAACTAACGAAAGGGTCTCACAAACTTATTTTTTTTATCCAAACGCTTAATAATAATTTTTTTTAAATTATAAGAACAAATTGTAATATTCGATCAACTTCTCGCAAACAATAAACATAATGAATCAGCGGCAGCCTTCATTAGTACATCCCAATGGGATCCTCTGCCTATACATTACATTATACATACATTGAAACTTGTGGCCCCATGTGCAAAGGCGTTGCATCTTTCAGTAGCCAAGCTACAAAATTATGGATAATGCTAGGGATATTAAATTCGTAAACCAAATAATATGTCTCCAATAAGAAACAAACATGTTAATCGATATTTAATCAAAAATTTAATTATCTACAACCGCATCATTTAGTTTACAAAGTTGGTTAAAAAATTTGATTTTCCTAGCAGTACTCCAAAATTATAAGGTTGTGAAGGACCTAAATGCGTTTGTAATTGAAGGGCTGGCTCAATAATTAATGTCACCTGTATCCAACGAGAGTATTAATGTCATGTGTAACCGACGCTAATAATCTTCTATCCGACATCATTGACCTTTTTAAAAAAAAAAATTTAAATGCTTTCCTTTTTCTTGGTGGATTAAGAGTGCTATTCGAGAGAAAAAGCATTTTCCTGATGCTAGTATTTTTGTCGCTTATCCGCCATTACAGTCATTTTCTATTGGATTTTACCTAATATCCACCGTAAATTAGCTTCTCTTGTCATTTTTTAAAAGGGTACTTAAGGGGTTATTTCGTAGTAGTGTGATTGAGATTTCAATCCGATCTTGTGATTAAATAAATATTGATTAAGTAAATTTATATTGCAAGGCCATTTTCATTAAAACTCTCTTTATATAATACAGACATTAGCCAAAAATCTAGTCACCTTGTAAGATTCAGAGAAGTGGGTCAAAAGCAAAGTGTGATTTTATCCTAAGGGGCTCAATGTAATTATGAGTGAAACACCAATGTTGTGTCGACCAAGTATTCGGTCGCAGTACATAAACAAACTATGATACTATGTCGCTACTTAGTATTACGGTTTAATGATATTCATTTTCACTTATAATGAGAGATCTTTGGTTCAATTATTGCTAGCCCATCCCTCTCCCCCTTAGCGTAGATAAGAGTAATGCTAGGGAGACTAAATTTGTAGACTAAATTGATAAACCAAATGAGGTGTCACAATAAAAAATGAGCATGTTTATATTAAGTGTGGAGCCAATAATATTCACTAGGCGCCACGTGGATTTTTAGACAAAAAGGACAAAAATACCATTGAGGCATACCGGGATTCCAACGCGCAAGCAGTGGGCAATCATCTTTCAACCAAGTCAAAAATGCTCAAAATAGGTAACAATTTAAAGCCTATTTCATCAAATCCTTTCTATAAGGTAATCCCAAAACCTAATTTATTTATTTAATATGTTTTATATTCCATTATTTAGCTAATAAATTAGCTAAATAATATATTCCTTCCATATTTCCTAAAATTGACTAATTAAGGGATTAATTACCTAATCAATCCCTTAATTATCAATTAAACCACCAAATTATAACCAAAAAACACCAAAGGCCGGTTACCCACTAGGGCCGGCCATGCCTTTTATTTTTTTTGCTTTTTGCTACCATTTTCTTTCCCTTTTATGACATTCAAATAGCTAGTTAATTAGGTTATTATTATTTGCTAATTAACTAGCCAATTATTTCCATAACTCCCCAAAATAACTAGCCCATTATCTCCATAACCCTCCAAAATAAATCATCCTTGGCCTAATGGCCGGCCACACCCTTCCTCTCCTATAGATTGGTTCCCATTTTCACCAAACACTAATTCCAACATTTTGGCAAAAATCCCAAAATTCTCTAAACACTCTTTTTCTCTAAATTCTAACTTTGGCATCGGAGGTTCTTCGGCCAAAGCCCCCCCCCCCCCAATTCATCGTGGGCGTGTGAGGCTCTTGGCTTTAACCTAAGATGTTAATTGTTTTGTAGGTGCAAAATTGTCCAAGATCAAGAGGAATAAATTTGCATCCACATTAAGTAATAATCCAATCACCAACTTTAATGTCCTTTAGTTTACAAATTGAGTCTCCCCAGCATTACTTGAGCAGATAATATTATTTGTTCAAAAAAAAATACAAAATACAAAAAAACTATGATACCATGTCAAGGTTAAAGATACGGGCAAGTAAGGGAAGGAATATATATATATATTTTTTTTGGGATCAATTGTTTATGGGAATAGAATAAGAGAATTGTTAATAGCATTCTAAAAATATCATTCTATATTCCTCCCAAGTGTATTTTTATTTCTAATAATAGAAAGGTTAGAGTGCACAATGAGATTTTTTGGAATGCCAATAACAATTCTCTAGAATAATAAGGATAATGCTATTCACACTTATTTTTACTTTTCACACTCTTGTTAATATTTAGTCATTTATCTTCTTCAAATCATTTGATCTAATGGTTGAAAATTAAAAAGGTATGTAAAAGGTAAATGTGAGTGTGAATATCAGTACTTGAACAATAATGGTACAGACTATAAAATCAAAGGGCTATTTTTTCTTTTGTCTCTTTATTATGATTTC